AGTAGATTTAATTAAACCCAAATTTTCTTTCAGGTTTGAAGGGGAACTGGTAGCTATTATATTATATTATATTATATTATATTATATTATATTATATTATATTGCTTAATTTTTAACCTTGTTTGTTGTGTGATCTTAAAAGTGAGTTGTTTCCTCTGTTATTATTAAAATATGTATTATAATTCTTTATGTGTTTCATAAATGTGGGATTTTACCATAATGAGCAAATTGGAGAAGGAAGGTTTGATTGCTCTGTCTCAGAAGGACACGGGGTAACTTGCTGCATTTGTCTTAAATGTAAGATTGTTCTTGGAATCTGTCCATCATCCTCGTTGAAAGTGATTGAGCTGCTTACTGGGGAGAACCATAATTTCACTTGCTGGCAGCAGGAGGACTTAGTGAGAAATGATTGTCATTGCCCTAATCTGACAGATTTCCTGTAAGGAACAGTGACAGCATTGTTGCAGTTAAGGCTGAGAATGTACATTAGCTAGAACAGAGGAACACTTTATTTCACATGAATAAAACCCTAAACGAGAGGAATTTTAAAGCTAAGATGGTGGACCAAAAGATGGTCTTCAACTGCAACTACAGCTTGTTAGTATTCTCAGCATCCTCAATTTTGCTGAAGTGTTAGGAGAAATCTGAGTTTCCTGAATCATTTCTGCAGCATTCTGTCAGAGAGAAATGCTTGCAAATGATCTCAAAGGAGAATGAGAAATGTGCGCAATTTGAACTTGCTTATCATGCCAAATATAGCTGATGTAGCAAATGGACCGAACAAAGCACAGGACAGCACAGCCCTCAAAAAGTGAGCTGAAGAGTAAAGTTCAAGATTACTACAGTGTGTGAGGTCATGAACTTGATATGTGAAACTGTACAAATACACATATGCTTAGTTAAGAGAATATTTATAGAAATGGAATAATGGTGGATAGTTACCAGTTATACAGGCAACAGTTGCCAGTTATACAGGCAGCAAGTTTTGAAGAGAGATAGATATTTTACATTAAATGGTTACCATTGAGCGTTTTTTATTTGTTCCCTAAATCAAATAATATTTTAACTTTAGTTAAGGTTTTATATCAGGCTGTTTCTAGGCTAATAATAAGCTGTGACAAGACAGCTGCACTGGGTAGGGATGTCTCAATAATTCTGCTTTGAATTGGGTAAAATCTGCTGATGGGTGTTCTGGCTGGTAACTGCCTAGTGAGTGGCTCTGAGTGTCTGTGCCCTGCACTCTTCTGATAACTCCTTTGAAAGGACTTCATCATTTCAGAACAGAATCCTGCATGCAGGAAGAGACTCCATAGTCCTGTTGTATACTTCAGGAAGTCCTTCAGCATTCTTTGCATAAATTGAGCTCATGTGATGTTTTATATGTGTTTATGATTTTATTTAATGCATTAGTGCAGATACGCTAGAGAAGTTTTTAGTTAAAAATGCTAACTCTAACTTTTCTCAGTAAGGTGCCATGCCATGAATTACTTTCCTTAGGTGTTTTTCCTTCCAGAAAATATGTTCCCATTGGATATGTATATGCATATGTTCCCATTGAATATGTATGTCTAATTTGTCATTCTTTTTAGGTGTGGAAGAGAAAGCCTTACAATATCAAAAATCCCTTAGAAATATTAAAATATTTACAGTATTAAAGGAGGTGATGTACAATTTATATTCATCTGGAGAAAGTTCAGGAGAAGTTCTTGAATTTCAGAAGCTCCTGGAAGTGAATATAGCTGATGATGTTGCATGCCAAATCTTAGAGTTATTAAAACAAAATATATTGATGTTACGTTCTGCTTTTTCTCTGTGCAGTGTAAAAGCAATGCTAAGTATCATAACACTTCTGTATGTTTGGAGGCAAGACACAGTATCTTCTGGGAATTAGAGTACTGGAACTGGCTCTGTGCTTTATTCAAAGGTAAGGAATGGTCCAGGGTGTACTGCTCCAAAGCACTTAAGCCTGGAAGCGTATTGCCATTTTCCTGTGCTACTGCAGGCTGACTCTTGTGCTGAAATTCAAGTAAAACAAAACAAAGCAGAAAAACCCCAAAGCTGGTAATTGGCTGGGATGATGATTGTGTGAGCTCATTCCCCCCACCTCAGGGAGGGAAGCCTGTTTAGTCAGCCAACAGTGCTCATGCAGTGAAGCTGCCAAGCATGAGCTTTCCTGAAGCATAGTCATGCTGCAACTTGAACATTTATCACTGCAGCTTAAACTATGAGCTGTTATTATTAGGATGACATAGAAGATACTTTTCTGTAGATTTTCTATACAGAAAGAACTTCTAAAATGCAAATTTTGTGATACTTTCTTTTACCATCAAATACCAGATGCACCAAATCCTCATTTATCTTGGTGATCTCTTATGTTGTTATTTTTGCATGTAACTGGGAGAACTGGGATGTTCAGTAAACATGTTTTGTTCAAATTGCCTTAAATCTCTTTTCCTGGATGTTGGCCTGAATAACAACTTCAATTGTACATATTCCTTTTCCTCATTTAGGTTATCTCTGAACTTACTCCTTATTATACTTTGCGTCCTAATAGTTTTGTTAGATCTCTTTCCCACATTGCTGCAGTTCTAAACTGGTCCGAGTTAGACCTTGTGATGCTGGTGTCTTCTTACCTAGTAGTAGAAAAAGCAGAACCAAAGTCCACCCAAGTGTAAGCTTGGGAAGTTGTGCTAATGCAATGCATTTTACTAATGTGAGAGTCCTGTTTTTAAAGGTCTTCTGGGCACTTTTCTGTGTGGTAGCTGCAAATCCCAGCCACAACTGTTAAGAACAGCATCAGCTGGACTCTTTCTTTCTTTCTTTGGTTGATAACAAGGACCCTTCAAGTTGAAAGTTGAATGCCATCTTTTTGACAATTATTGTTGTATTTTTCTTCACAGTGTAAAAAGTCTACAGCAGAATTTCAGAAAGCTGTCAGGTTAAAACTTGATCTACTGGTAATGTCTTCTAATATACAGAAGACCTTGCATTCTTTTTATCAGAATGATGTGACAGCATTACAAAAGCATCAGTGGAAGGAAAATGTTGCCTAGTTTGGAGATAAAAATAGTTTGTGGTGATTTCACAAAGTAAGACTGTCAGAAATCACTCTTGCAGTATTACCTCAGGTGTTGAAGTTTAGCTGTTATCTCTGATACATTTGCAGTACTGCAGAAAGCAAGGAGAGAGTATAGCATTAAGGTTTCTGAGAGGCATATAGCAGCTTATCCACCTCTACGTTTTTGCTACTAGGGATTCAGTTTCCTGCTGTAAGATGTTTTTTCCTCTCCTAGTGAAATGTGGAAGTAGGAAAAACTTACTTTATGAAATCTTCATTCGTGTACTAGTTGCAGTTTAGAGAGAATTTTCCATCTCACGTGTCCATAATTTCTCCTAGAGTTATTTTCATCCTGTTGTGATAGTCTTGGGAAATGAGCTGAGATGTTGTGCTTAGAGGAGGGAGGAATGCCCTGGCTCTGTGATGCAGGGTGGCAGAGGTCCATGGTTTGTAGCCAAAGGCGAAGGGGAGGCGGTGTGGGGGAGCAGCTATGTAACAGCCTGAGGAAGTGAGTCAGTGCGCTCTGAAACAGTCCCATGGTTCTAGGGGCACCGAAGCCAAGCTTGGCCTCTGAGGTGGAAGTTGCGTAAGTTAATTAAAACTCTTTGTCCTTTCCTCCTCGTCATGTTCCCAACCCCACCTCAGCGTTAAAACCTGCGCTGTACCCAGATCTGTCTGAGGAAGCTCAGGTTACAGGACTGCAGTGTGCTATATCATTTTGGTTTATTACTTTTCATTTTAGAAAGCAGAATAAATGGATTGCAGGTTTCATTGGAGGGGACGTGTGTGTTAGTCTTACCTGCTCCACTCAAGAGAAACTTGATTATGTGACAGAGGGGTGTAATAAGAATAGTTTTTTACAATTTGCTGTAATTTTCCTGGAATGTATTGGCTGTGGGATTTAAAGTAGAACAGAATGCACGCTGAAAAGGATAGGAATAGAGACTTACACTAGAACGTTAGTAGTAGTAATCTGATAATATAATTGAATTTAAAACTAAACATCTAAAAAGGTTTTAGGTGTCCAAATAGGAATACTAGTGTATGTATTCACACATTAGACCTTAATCCTGCAAGCTGGGCTCTTAGAGTTTGTGGATAGCTTTTCTTCATGGAAGAAGAGGGTAGGAGGGTAGAATTGATGTAGAATGCCTGTTCTGGAAGGGCTTTCTTCTATTACATTTGTAGCTTTTCACTAACAGATATTTGCTGATGTCCGCAAGCAGCTGTTACAAGAGCAGCTGCCTGAACTGCCTTTCAGTGAGTGTGACCTGAGCAGGAGCAGTTTCTTTCAGCTGAAGAAAACTTCTGAGAGAGCCTCAGGTTGAGCAAGCTGTGGCCCTAGGATGGGATCCTAGGGCTTGGATGCTGGGTGGGCAGATGTTGACTGGAAGGCATCTGTAATCATTGTCAGTATGGGTGTGTGAGTGACGGGCTGTTGCCTGACCCTTTTCCTTCAGAATACTGAATTGAGCATCTTGTTGCATGTTTGGCTGCAGTCTTCGTGTACATACATGGCTTTTAAAGGTCTTTGGGAACTATGGCCTTTTGGCAAGCCATGAGGGCTTTTTGTTTTGTGGTTTTGACTTAAGATTAAAACCAGATTATTCTGGCTACACAAAGATGTGGAAGTAATTGGCCAGATCAGAGGTAGTAAAGAGTAAAAGTAAAACTTTCAGGGTGAACTTAAGGGATTAGTCAGAATTCTGTGTGCAATAGGGAGTTGCATCATGCAAGTACAGTGTGATACCTATTTTGTAAAACGAAGTTGTTTTGTTTTGCAATCTTCTAGCAGGTCAGATCTGTTGTTTCTTCCATCTATTATCCTGGTCTTCATTTCCATGGGAAATGGGACAGACATACACATTGTTGCTTATCACATGAGCATTCATAGGCCAGTTATGTCTGTTGATGATTCATTGCAATTGCTTCTCTATTTCAGGACCTGTAACTAAGTGGACCCTACTGACCTCTGAACCACAAACTATAAGAGTGAAAAGAAGTGGGAGAAGCACACAAAGAAAAAGGAAGTGAATGCACTTTCATCTGGACTTCTTTCCTGCCCTTTATTACTGAAGCTGAATGGAAAAGAAAGACTGCTGTGCCTTTCCTCCCCCAACCTCAGGGATGGGTGGATTATAAACACTGTGTGTGTGGCTGGGAGAACAGACTGAACCATGAATCTTCAGGCTCAGCAAAAGTCTTCAAGCAAACGGGCTGGGAAACGAGTTGCCTATTTTAACGAGCAGGACATAGCAGTGCCATCAAAAGAGCCACAGCAGCAGCTTAAGGAAGGACAGTACTATGGTCACGGAGGGAATATACCAGTCTCTCAAACTATGGAGATTTCTCATCCAGGAGGATTAACAAGTGCACCCAACAACGTTGCTTTGATGAACTCTGTTTACAATCAAGATAGGGGAGAATCAGTGATGATGCCCCAGTCAGTAACAGCTGTCAAATGGCAGAATTCACTAATGGGAAACCGGTTACCAGAGAGGGGTGACAGCCACTGGCAGTCTCCACCTTCAGTGTGGAACCACAGTGTGGTTTTTGGGGGCAACCCAAAAGGACCCCACTCCAATGCTGGTGCCCCAGGCTTCTATGGCCACCCAGAAGCCCTTAAAAGAAATCAAGAGAAAGGAGTGTTTGTGTCACAGCTGGATTTGTATGGAGACGCTGTCCAGCAGATGATGTCCCAAAAGGCTCAGCTGGAACAGCAAGCCCTGGTTAGACAGCAAGCTCAAATGAATTCTTTTCATCAAATGCAGAAACAGCAGCAGCAGAATCAAACTCTGCCACTGCAGCCTTTCCAACTTGCATTTGGTCACCAAGGCCAAAAGCAAGGTCTTCCTGAGCTGTTACATGTCTTTCAAGAAGCCCCAACTTCTTCCAGTCCAGCATTTACTGCACAACAAAAACAGCAAGCTCTTCCCCAGCTACAGCTCTTTGAAAATTTCTATCCTCAGCAGCAGCAGCAGCAACAGGCTGCCACACAAGCCTTCGGTCTGCAGCAAACAACTTCTATAGCACAGCCTCATGTGGCAGCTGCAGCACCTCAGCATCACATGATGCCACACCAATTTCAGCAAGCAGAGAGGAACCAGGAGCTATTCAAGGCATTAACAGAGCAGAACCAGCAGACTGTCCTACCTCAGACGCAGATTCCCTTTCCAAGAAGGTCACGGAGGCTCTCCAAAGAAGGTGGCCTGCTGACATCTGCAGGAGAAGTGTTGACTTCTAAGCAGGCAGAAGAACAACCTGGCAATTTATTTCTGCACCACTGGCAAACACATCAGCAAGAGATCCCGATACAGCAAACACCTGAGTCACTGGGCCACAGTAAAAGTAGCTATTTGCACCCCAAAAGATTGGATCTGGGGCAGAAGGATGTCCTGGTGAATAGTGAGCAGTGCCAGATGGAAACAGACAGGCAAGCTGCAGCCCAGAATGGTAGAGATGAGGAGAAGCAGGCAGCAGCAGCTGAAGAAAACAGTCAGAGAACTAATGATTTTCAGAGTGTCAGAGGTGGTGTAATCCAGAGTACCCGACGGAGGCGACGTGTTTCTCAAGAAGCCAATTTGCTGACTTTGGCCCAAAAAGCTGTTGAGCTGGCTTCTCTTCAGAATGTAAAGGTAAGGTATAGACCCTAACCATATAGCATGTTTTACACTACAAAACAGGGCTGAAAGGAAGGGAAGACATGTTCCCATGCAGTATAGGATGGTATCTTGAAGTGTGCAACGAGGGCAGCTCTGGTGTGGAGGCATGTAAGTTCAGCTACTGAAATTCATAGATGTGGGAGAACAGAGATGTGGTATAGTGAAACCTCTAAGTGACAGTTTTATTTCACTAACACCAAACATTATTTTAGCCCATGACATGAAAACATGGAATTTTTCAGCTTAGGTCTCAAGGTGATGAGGAATTTTGAGAGGCAGATATAAGCAGCTTACTTGTTATCTTTTTACCAATTTAACATTCGCTTTCTTTTCTGTTAAAAGACTTAGGGTTACCTGCCAGTTTTTCAGTTTCAGCAGTTGAAGTGTTTCTAAAATGTGTTATCTAAAAATTACATAATGCAATTTACATGTTCAATATTTCTCAAATATTAAAAGTCTAAGAAAGCTTCACTTACATGAAGGACCAATAGCAGGCATGACAAAGGCCTGTCTCATGCAGCATCCTGTTTCTAAGAATGGCCTGAGGGCCTGTAGACCTCCTGTAGGACTTAATGAGGAAGAAATTTAGTGCTGACTGATTTGGTAGTTCACTACTCCTAACCTTTTGATATCCCATCAGTCTAAACTAAACAGCATATATTCCATATGGCAAGATGACAGAGTTCAAAATTAACTAGCCTATTGGGAGACAAGTGATGGGATTTTTGGAGTTGAGTGATGGTTTTTGGAGGGATTGTTTTTGAATGTTTTTCTTACAGTTGTGGTTTGTTGCCTAATCTTTTATTGAGCGCTTCTTAGGAGGCACACTTTTCCTTGGAAGTCCTCTTGCCAAAGGCTGATGAAATACACATTACATGAGCTGTTTTTACCTACACTTTTTGTGTCTGAGTTGCTATCCAGTCAGACAACAAAGGGAAAGGCATTTTATTGCCCGTTTTGTTCTCATCATCCTTTTTATCCTAGTCTGTCTGTCACTGTTTTTTCCCATCTCTTCCTTAGAGGAATGTGCTGTTTGAGGGAAAGAACTAAACTAATAAACGAGCTGAATATCCATAGCCTACTCCATCTCTTGGACAGCAGAAACCAAAGTGACTTGACTTGCTTGTTGTTGTCTTCAATCCTTTTTGCTCTAACTCCAGTTGGACCAGCAGATTTGATAAAGAACTGGTAGTATGTAGTAGCATGGTGTATTTGCTCTTACTTTGCCAGCCATTGTGTGATTATATTGCAGAAGGTCTGCAATTCACATTGCACTTGGATGGCTAACAGAGTGTCAAGAAGAAGCAAATAGAGCATTTAGGAAAAGGCCCTGAGAGATGAAGCAAGAAATTGGCTGTTTGAAGGCCTGTCTGCTTGCAGTCTGATTCATAATGTAAAGACCAGAGAAGTGTTTTGACAGATGCTCTTTTGTTCTTTGCAGATACGCAAGCATAATGGCACTAGCAGAAGAACTCCTTATCTTTAGATCTCTTCAGGTTTTCAGGATGAGGTTTTGAAAGATGATAAAATTCTTACCAGAGGTCTGATGGATTTTACATCTTTAAGGTGTTGGATATTGTGTGAGGGAGAAAAAGAAAATATGTTTGCTGAATGAGAGTGGGCTGCTTCTCTTATGAGTGTCTTTCTGTTAAAAACAACCTAGAAGCCTTCTCTGCATAGGTTATCCGAACAGTGTGTAGAATGCCATAGAGTTAAATTATTGATTGAAGAAGATATCATTCATAATTTGAACCAGTTTTTTGAACATCCCAGTCTAGGTATGTGTACCTTATGCAAAAAATAATATTGTGGACATCAATATCTGTCTGCATGCAGTGTCACGACTGACGCTTTGGAACAGGCCTGTGGCTGCCTTTTTTTCAGGTGATGCATGCTTGTTGCTGCCTACAGGCTGCAGTACATTCTCAACTCCTTAATTGTTTCAGTATGACTTGTTGTCTTCTATAAGAACAGAAAACTTTTCTCAAACCTTGATGCTTTTCTTAAAGGGTGTCTGAATTTAAATATTCCTTTATGGAAGGAAGACGTTTTTGCTTACCTAGCTGCTTTCCCCTGGCACAGCGCAGGGCACCAGCAGCTACAAACAAAAGGAAGAAAAAAGTTTTGTTTGCAGAATTGTAGTTCTGGTCTCGCCTCTTTCATGGACAAGCTTTGGTTTGACTTCAGACAGAAGCTGCCTCTCCTTGATGCAGATGATGCAGAATGATAGCAGAAAGCACTGTGTGGGCAGGTGTTTTTAAAAGGCTGATGTGGTTTCTATTCAGATCACAGATGTGGCCTTGGAACAGTTCTTCCAGCTATTGTAGTTGGGTTTTTCTGTGAATTCTAAGATTTTTAGAAACAGCTTGAGGGATAGACAGGATCGATGCCAGGATGTCTGATGGGTTTCTGTGGATTTCCTGGAGAACTCTAGATGACTAGTTCATACCTCAGTATTTATGCAAGAGTCTAAATGAAAGTGCCACGTGTTGCACTTGCTGAAGTGATCCAGCAGCCCTCCTGCCCCAAATTCTGAAACAGGGATTCTGAGGTAGCCAAAAATCCATTAGTAGGTCCCATCCTTTCTGCTTACCTCTGAGAATAATCAAACAGCTGAGAAACTGTTTAGGGATCTGAAGCAAAAGGCTTAATTCCAAAATTAGTCATGCCTCTTGCAAACATTAGGTATGTGTGAACTTTTGTGATCAGAAAAGCTGTAGTGTGGATCAGAACATCTTTAAGGATGTCTCAACTATTTATATTAAGTCCCTACTGGTGTTTTTTTCTCTATCTGTGCTACTATTCAGGTCTCCTGTTCTTGTTTTGGCTTGGAGGGGTCAACTCTCCCATCTCTGAGGAGGAGTGCTTTGCTGATTGCCCCCCAGTTTTATATGAAATAAAAGGAGCACAGTAAACCAACCATAAAGCCAGAGGAAAGTGACACTTTTGAGTGACTATGGCACTTTTGAGCTGCCATAATTTCCTTCTTGTAGTCAGCAAATTAGTTCAGGTCTCTTGACCTACAGATGTCTGTGTAGCACCCAGGAAGTACCTGAAATTTTTAGATTGGTCAGAATTGGTGCTTTTTCACACATTCACATTGTCATTATGCGTTGCTGTACCCAGAAAGTGGTGGAGGAAAGCTACAAAAATTTACAGGAACCCCTTTCTGTCTAGAGTCAGTGGACTCCAGTGATGTCTGTCAGCACGGTGAACATGATGAATGCCCTCCAGACCCAAAATTGGTAGTTTTATGGGAAAGTACAGGAGTCTGTCACCAGCCTGAAGTGAGGGCAGGTCCTCAGACCTCATTAATTTCTCCTGAGGCTTATTCTGGGACAATGGATGCCACTTGTGACTTTACAAATGTGTGTTCCATCACTGTGTGGTAGAGGTGTACATTTGCAGTGTCTGTGAAGAAGCAGTCAGGCTTGTAAACTGCAGAGTCAGTTATGGAATAAACCTTTCTGTGCAACTTAGCCCAACTCTAATAACTACCTCCTTGAAATGAGGCAGTCTTGGATCTTCTTGGTATAGTAGATTTTATGAGCTCAATCTTATTATCTGGCTTATTTTGAAGGCTTAATGTTTTCCAGAGTCAGAAAAAAAAAATGAAGGAAAACTAGCTCTGGGTTTAGGTTTTTTTTGTGTGTGAGAGATTTAATTAAGATATTATCACAGTTCAGTCTTCCCTGGAGCAGAAATCCAATATTTGAAATTAATAACCTGCAGCTTTTGATCGTTACTAAAACTGACGAGCTGTTGTCAAAAGCTATAAAGCAGGACACAAATTCATAAAATAAAATGTTAAAACATAGGTAGTGAAACAATTCTTATAAATGACCTATATAAGTGTTCTAGCAGTTGAGACTACAGGCAATCCTCAAGTAATTCTATGAAATTTTAATAACCCTGTGAAATATTCTTTTACCTCCAGTAACACTTCCAAATCCATTTCAGCTTGCAAGTTGCTTTGAGAAACTTGATATACACTGAAAATGAGATGGTATCTCATTTATTACATAAGTAATACAGAACTTTTAGGAATCTATTTTTCTTCTCAGGAGCTGGATAATTCAGAGGAGAAGAAGAGTATGCTAGTAACAGCTCCAGGACCTACTGCAGCTTCAAAGAGTGTTGTGGAATTCGCCAGTTCTTCACCAGCTCCCAAAAAAGCCCGGGAGGATAACAGCCTTGTGCCTCTTATCATTCCTGTGTCTGTGCCAGTGAGAAAAATTGACTTGCAGAGCCTTGAAAAGGAGAAGTCTGAGGATGGAAAGCTCCAGAAAGGCCAAACAAACGATCGAGCTCCTTGTGAGCGGAAGCCTTCTGTGATAGTCACTCGGAGGCGGTCTAATCGTAATACTAACACGGAGACCTCGAGTCAGGTATGGATGCACTAAGAAACCAAAGATGAGGCACATCTGTTCAATTTAATCACACAGTTTTGAGCCATGAACTTTTCTGTTAAAGTAGTCTGATCTCAAGGCTTGAACTTGGACTGTACATAGTGTGGAGATTTTATCATAGTGTTGCCATGTATTTGGGCATTGCTGGCTTTTCATGACCTATAGCTAATGCTAGTAAAGCCAGGCAGTGCCTCACTAAATTCATTAAACAGTGAATAAAGCCAGACAGTAAGACTAGAATAGTTGTCTGTCTGAATCAAGAGTGCTTTCTTCATACATACATAAATACCAATAAATTCTAAGTAGTGCACATATCTCTCAATGTAAATAAAATCCGAAGTGAAGATTTATTCTCATGCAACGGAAACTTTTACTGAGTTCTGAAGGTCAGTACTTGATTGTTCCCCTGCAGCATGGTAGTGATGAGTGGGTGGGTTGATATTTTTATTTCCCTTCTCCTCTATCCAGAACTACAACAGAATGTTCAGATATCACAGGAATGGCAGGCATCTGGGGAGGTTTCTCTGCATTTAAATGCTTGACCATCTAATAAAATACTGTTATATTGTCTTCTGTTCTCTTACCACTATTTGGTGTCACTGTGTATCTGTATCAGGGTTGTGGTGTATCTGTACCAGGATTCTGCTGTGCTTTTTTATTCTCTTTTAAAGCTGCCATGAAGGTTGGACCAGATGTACATGAAGTTCTTGTAAAATATAACTTCATAATCACATGAGCTAGAGCTGCTACCTAATGGTTCCTGTGTCCAGTCCATTCCATTCCCTGTGTTCTTCCTCTCACTTTCCCCTTCTGCTAATTGTTGAGACATCCTCCAGCTGTTCTATCCAGATTTTAAGCTGTTTTTCAAGCAACCTGAGATTTTAAATTAAATTAACAATGCAGTTTCTTTTTCTAATAGCACGAAGATGCTGTTCCAAAGGATGAAGCAGAGGGCTTTGCCCGAAAACCAAAGCAGCGGCCGAGACCCGAGCCCCTGTTCATACCACCTAAAGCCGGCACCTTTATTGCACCGCCTGTTTATTCCAACATTACTCCATATCAGAGCCACTTGCGGTCACCTGTCCGTCTGGCAGACCATCCTTCAGATAGGAACTTCGAGCTACCTCCTTACACTCCTCCGCCAATCCTTAGTCCAGTGAGAGAAGGATCGGGGCTGTATTTTAACGCTATCCTCTCTTCAAGCGGTCATTCGGTTGCGCCTCCAGTGACACCCAAAAGTGGTCACAGAACTCTGCTTCGATCAAGTAAGTTGCATTTTAACTTTCCTTTCTTGTGTAATTTATGATTGGGAACTGTGGAGCATTGGGAGGAACATCATGCCCTTAGGTGGTGTGTTTGTGTGAAACTGGAGCTTCTTCCTGATTGTTTGGGAAGCCAGAATACAGGAAATGCAGTATTGCTCCATCTAGGCATGGATGTTAAGATGGGTTCACAAGCAACCTGCAACACCCCCTGCTGACGTTCTTAGGAATGAAAAGTTAGTTCCTCTCCCAGGTCAGTATCTTGAGCTGAGGGGAGGAAGGCTCTGGTCATCTGAAACTCCTTTATTTAGCCTGGGGGTACCTTTTTTCAGAGATGGGCAGCTCTGATTAGATTTGCAAGCTGTGTGAAAAGTAAATCTCAGATGTGAAGCTGAGCAGTTCTTCCTTCTTGTTGCAGATAGTTCAGAAGTTACCCCTCCGATTCTTACCGTAGTGGGGGAAGCCACCCCGGTCAGCATTGAACCGTAAGTAGGCAGCAGATTCAGAGTCTCTTACTAAAAGTGTTCCTTGCTTCCTCTTAAACCTTCAAGCTGCTCCCTGTGTGACCGATGTATCTCTTAGAAGCATTAAAACTATTCCTGTTGGTGGTTCTAAATATAAGTTGTCTTGATTAAAAATTACACTGTATGATAAATAGTGTTTGGTTGGGTAAATGTAATTCTGGTGACATTAACTGCTTTCTATTGATGCTCACCTGTCTCTTGGCTGAATTACTGTTAGTTACATAAAGGGGAATCTGTCCTGTGTTGTTTTATACGAGCTCTTCTTTGTAGCTGCCTGCTTGTTTTAGGGTGGGAAGATGATGCTCCTTTAGAGGAAGGACAGAATGTCCTTGGAAAACTGGGGTTAGCTCTCCCATGGACTGGTCTGGTTGCAGGTGTGTTGTAGCTGCAGCACAGCTGTGAACACTCTGCTCTCTCCTGGGCGAGCTCAGCCTGAAAACGCTACGGCCAGTGGCATATGGGCTGTGTGCCCTGAACTAATCAGCCTGGTTGGGCTTTAGCTGTCTGTGTGCTGGGAAAGAGCAATAGGGAACACAGTCTGGAGATGTTGAAGCTGGAATTGTGAGCTTAGGCTTGGTGTCAGTCCTGCTAAACCTGAGCAGAGCTGCAAATGTCTCTGCACAGCCTTTGCCGGTGCTCTGGGAGTGTTATCAATTCAAGCTCAGTACTGCTGAACTACAGCAAGGTAGTGTAGTTCCATTACTATACCTAATTAATTCACTCCTGCAAAATCTAATCATGGAGATGCATGGCTTGAAAGCACCCATGTGGCATAAAAACACCCACATGGCTCCGCATCTGACTGTGCAGTCAGGAATCTCTGCTCAAACTCTGCAGCATACCCCATAACATTTGAGATATTTGACTCAAAATTTCCCCAGGTAAATACAACACTTCTTTTGCTTTCATCCAAAATGGTTTGTATTTTAAAAATGGACTGGTACATTTGCTGACAGTTTTTTTCCTTGCCCTTTTCCCATTCTGCCTTCTTGTTTGAAGGTCAGGTTTTCTGCACTTGTCACAGCAGCCTGTCCTGAGCAAATGTTGCAATTGTGAATGAACGTAGACTTTTCTTGTAACCTTTGCAAGCCTCCTCTAGACCGAGCCCATTCATTGAAATAAGCACATTTATTGTTGTATAAATTTATTTTGAAAGTTGCCTAATTAATCTTTTTCCTGTTGGTTCATTTAACATTAATCCGGGGAACTTCTTGAACAGATATTTTTTGTGTCCCTCTCAGGTCTCAATCTTTGACCTCTCTGTGGTGCAGTTGTCTTGTGTCTGTTGGCTTAAATTGCTGAAGTTATTGACATAAAGTTGGTTGTGATATTAGTTGTATGTGAAAATTTTCATATTTTCAAATTAACGTTGCTGTTAATTTCAAACCATGGTATCTTAGTAGTGCAAGTTCGTTTCCTTTTGCCAAAAGGGAGTTATGTGCAGCTTTGTCTAACTGTCATCTTAAGTCTTGCTGAGCAGATGCTTATGGAGGTAAATTGCTTTTAACTTTTAATGACAAAAAATTATTAACCTGGTATCATTTTGTGTTTGGCATTACTGTTGTGGTCAGTTATGTAGATGTGTCTTCCTTAAAGAAAATGTGGCAGGAAGCACTTTTTTTGGAAGAAAAAAATGTTTAATTGGCTTTGTAGTCTTGTCAGAAGTTGGCTCTAACTTGTGATTACCCAATATAGTAGTCTTAATTGCTTGCCAAGCCTTCTGTCAGTGCTTCTTAAAAGGTTATTTAATTGCAGTGATTTGAAATAGGAAATGTGATAATGAAGCTTAATTCTTTGTGAAATGTTACAATAGGCAGCTGTTGTCACAGATCCTTGTGTCCTGCTGGTTTTGTAGTTCAGCTGCACCAAAGTCTTGGGGTCACTGCTGAAGTAGGCAGCCTTAAATATACCTGTGGTGCATCACTGAACTGCCTTCCCAATTCACAGCCTCAGTTCTGGATGTTGTCACACTCAGCTCCCACGGCATCCCAGGAGCACCACTGGTGCTTTCAGACAAGAGCTCTTTATGTATTCAAGTCTAGACTTCATCAGTAGAGGAACAGAGGAATAATACAACTTGAATGGATCTCTGGAGATCATCTGGTCCAAGCCCCTGCTCAGAGCAGACCAAATTTAGCAGACCTGTGTCAACTCTCGCAGTAGAATTCTGGTTTTATTTGGGCATTGCAGGTACGAGATGAAATTTTTTGTTTTTTTCTAGCCCAGAGATGTCATATTCCAAGTTCAGTTTCAAAATGAAAAGCAACTTTCAAGAAGGCCCACATTCTTTCCCTCCAAATCTTCCAGTTGTCTCTTTCTTTCTCAGAAGTGAGGTCAGAGGAGTCTGTGTCCTGAGACACAGCCTCTCCCAAATTTCCCAGTGCAGTTTTTACTGCAAAAACGCCTTTTTATCTGTTTCCACATGGCAGCAAAGTGTCAGTTTTGAGCAGTCATCCCTTCAAGGGCAGATTATAATCCATAAGCCTTTCCTCCTCTGTGAAACTGCATGCCATAACAGTAAGCAAGACTAATCACAAAGAGTAGAAGAGTTCACATGAACATTAATCTGCACTCCATCTCAGTGTGCTCTGAAAGGAGAGCTACTGCTGAGTGGGTGATTAAGTTGGAACAAGTGTATAGGGTAATTTAATTCTGCATTGCTTTGTTTACACATGAACTGTTCCCTTTAAGGACATCTGTATCTGCTACAGATGAAAAAAAAAAAACAGTTTGCAAAATATCTTTTTATGTGTATTAGAAGTCAGTAGTTTTTTTTAACATGGGCTTTTCCAACACATGACATCTTATGATGCAAGTGTTTTATGACAATACCAAAATGAGGAATTGGGTGGAAAAGGGAATTAAGGTATTTGCTTCTTCTCCTTCCATACCCATTTCCTCCTGTTTGATAACAGACTCTCTTAGGACTTCAAAACACCATATTGAAACACTTGCTGGTATCTCTGGATTTTTGTACTGGTTATGTGTTGTTTCAAGGCTTCCTCACTTCTTTTCCAAACTGCTTTTCATAATAGATGTGTGTGTGTCATTTCAGAGGACAAGAAAAGTCTGGAGGTTGGCATTTCTCAGAAGTTTTTGTTATTATTCCTTATTGCACTGTATTATGCTCTTTCTCTGGTAATTGTGCTAGGTGTGGGGCATCAAGCCAAGAATTGAGAATTATAGCAAGCCTTGCCCTGGGTGCAGGGAGTTTTACTTTTTTGTAGCGAAGCGACTCCAGAATTTTATCATCTTCTGGGCACTGCCTGATCTGCTCTCTCCAAAAAAGAGCTTCTTTCTCTATACTTTACTATGTCAAGAGCTACCAGTGTGGTTGACTGACATCTGAATGAGGAACACTTTTGCATTAAGTACACGGTAGAACAGTCTTTCATTGGGGGTTCTTACCCATCTCTGCACAAAATCACACTTGCTAATACAGAGTAGAATCTCTGTGGATCGTCACTTGACTTAAAGTAATGTAGTGCTCTGTGGGTTGCACGTAGTGAAAAATCTGTCTGCTAATTCAGATGTAAAAGTATGAGAATGCTGCTGGAAGGAAAGGGTTTGGGTTTGGTACAAAATGAGCAATACAGGTTTCATATTTTTTGTTTTATATTTTTGGTTTCAGTTGGTAGAAGGAGTACCTGGAATACACCAGCTTGTGTCAAGGTCATAAAGGACCAAATTTTGATCCTGTTTTGAATGGGAAATTGGACCAGATGGCAGTGTGTAGGTTGGAAAGGACATTTGGAGACTCTGGTTCAGTTGTTGGCTGACAAAATGTTAATACTAAAACAGGCTTACCTGTCTTATGCCTGAGGAGCAAGCTTGCCATAAGAGGACCCTATATGAGAGCCTCTCCAAAAGTGATGATTATTGGAAAGCAATCACTGTTGTTTGAGCAACTATTAGGGAATGCTAATTTAAATACAGTTTCAACCTATGCTGATAAAAAAAAATGGAAGATAAAAAAATGGAAACTGGTAATAGATGTAAAACCTCTCAACTTCTAAGTTACTTATGTAACCTACAACACTGTTGGTGTTACATGCAAGAGCCTGCATTTGTATATGCATTTGTTTCTTCGTTTGGTTCTTCATTAGTGTTTCTAGCAGAGACGGAGACTTCCTGGGTATTGTAAAGGTGGTCTGACTGTAACATTTTTCCTTCTCTGCAGGCGAATAAATGTAGGAACTCGCTTTCAAGCAGAAATCCCATCACTCCAAGACAGATCTCTGGCAGAAACTGATGAACATAAAGCAGAGCTGGTGTGGCAGCCGTGGGATGACTTGGAAACCAACAAAGTCACCCAAGAGAATGGTAAGAAGGTGGAAGGCTGTTAAAGAGGGCAGAGTTGTCGCAGTGGTTGTAGGGATAACCACGTATCTACTGTAGGCATAATTAAAAATCTTTTAGAGCTACCAGTCAAGTGACATGTTTGAGTGGTCTTGAAAACAGTTTTAGGAGCAAAACTTGTTTATCAGATTGCATTTATGGGGCAAGGGGAAGCTGGTAGGATTGGTTCTTTTAATAGTGAAAAAACTGTGACTGTTGCTTCTGTCAGGCCAAGAGCGGCCTTTTTCTCAGTGAAGCTTCCTTGGTTTTGTTAACATTGAAAACCACACACACTCAACTCCTGTATTTTTGAGGGATGTTCTAGATGTAATAGTATTTTAAAAAAATCAAGTTGTAGACTGAAGTCAGGATGAGGAAGCAGGAGTTGTGGTGGCTAGTAGCAGACCTGGGGAGCTGACTGCTTCTGTTACACATGGGTTGTGTTCTTCCTGAAGGGAAGAGGAAGTGGGCAAGCTTGGAAGAAATATTTTTGAATGAGAGAGAAAAAAGAGTTTTATGAAATGGAAATTCACAATATAAGGGTGGATTCAAGAAATGTGTGAGGTGAAGGGAGGTGGGAAGAGCAGGGGGGAGATTTGCAAGAAATTCCATGTGTAAATAGTGCTGCATGACCTTGTAGCCCAATGAGTGCTGGGGTCCAAATTTGACTCAGATAAATTTGCAAGGACATGCAACTTCTCTGAGTTTTACTTTCTATTATGTCTATTTCTCCTTCAAAAGAGGTAATTAATCATGCCAATGCAGTAGGAAGCTTCATTTTAATCTTCTTTTCTGATTTTTTTGGGTACCCCTGTGGAAACAGTGGAAAACCTGCTAGCTGCTGCCTGTTCAAGTATTTTTCCTGGGGGTGGAACCAACCAGGAGCTGGCATTGCATTTCTTACATGAAGAAAAGGGAAGCATTCTGGTGAGTCTGCCCCACTGTTCACCTCAATTGTGGTCAAAGATGTTAAGGCAGGTCAGGTAACCTCTCATTCCTGAGAGGAGAGCCTTGCAAATTCCTTTCAGTACATCTGGTTCCCATTGTTTGGTGTCCCTTGAACGTCCCTGATGTGGGTTCTGACCAATGTACAGTGCTATGTGCACTTACTTTTCTATTTCCAACTTGGACATGTTTGGCTTTTTAACAAACACACTGACAGTCTATCAGGGCAAGTGAGCCAAGACTTCTAAATTAATCTTAGATGTTGTCTTCCTGGAAAGGTTACTGTGTAGAAGGGAAAAATAAGAGACTGGGGCTGAAAGCTGAGTCAGAGGGCAGTGTCTTGCGCCTCTTTGTTTTGGTTGATCCATTTGACTTCTCTGTGTCTGTAGAACAACTGTCCTGCTAATTTTATACCAGTATTGTAAGACATGATACACTTTCATTATTGCCCTTTGATACCTCTGGGAGGTAATATCAAAGAGCAGAGCAAACAGCAAAGCTTTATCATCTTTTTATAGTTCTGTGACTGATTTAGACTGGCATAAATCTGCCCTGTATTCAGGAGTATCCCACACTTTTGCCTGGCTGCTTGTTTCCCATCCTGTGGCACTGACACTTGTGAGACTGCATGGACTTGCATCAGAGAAGAGATCAAACAGAAATTAGTTTTTGTGTGTGTGTGTGTGTGTTAGGGTTCTGGCAGCCCATTGCTGTGAATGCTGCTGTTGGCATTAGAGAGGAGCAGGACTGCCGCTGACAGCAGGAACTCATTGTTCAGGTGGTTTAAACTGCCACTGGAAGCACGATTCTGTTGTCTCCTTCCTACAGAATTTGAAAGCTTTCTGGTTTAAATGAAAACTAAAAAGCAGCTTGAGAGGTGGGAGTTTTGTATGTGTCATCTTTCAGTCACATGACTGCTGATTTATTTTGAAATAATGCTCAGTCAAGTGAGATCAAATTACAATTACTTGGATACGTAAAACAGGTGTCATTTAGGGCAGCATGTTTGGATATGTGTGTAATAGGCCTTTGGTGAATGAGAGGAAACTGATGCAAGGTCTCTATGTAAGGAATTAGCTCTCTCCCAGTACCCTGGTGGTTGTGTCAATTCACAGATGTGAAGAGGTGCCCAGAATGTACCACTTGCCTCTGGTACCCGAGATTAGATGGGCAGTCAAGAATGTGATTTTTAAAGTTGCCCCAAGTGGTAAACTGTGCTCTGTTTCTTTTCTGTTAGCTTGCCACAGAAAAGAGGGGATTGACAATTGCCTGATCTTTGTTTTTAATACCCCAAACATTAAAGTAATTCTTTTACTTGTGTTTATCCAAGGGAGCTCTGACCAAACTGCTGTTGAAGAAGCCAGTGCGACCACCTACCCACCCTTTGGCAGATTATCACTACACAGGTTTGTCAACCAGAACAACTCTGTGCTACCTGTTTATATCCTTTTCTGATTTTTTGGGGTACTCTGTTACATTGCAAGAAGATTAAAAGAGCAATTCTCTCTTGTAACTCAAATGATGGCTTGCCAGAATTTTTGCTTATGCAAATTAAGACACTTTAAATGTAAGAAACACTGCATCCTTCTGAACATGTGCATGTGTATTGGGATAGGTATGAGTTCTCATTTTCTTTATGGGGAAAAGGGAAGGTAATCCCTTGCACTAAGACAAAGAGAACGTAGAAGGATAGCCAGTATGTACAAGAAAGGCTGTGGTAACCTTAGAATCATAGCCTCTCTGGCATGAGTTTCCAGGGTGGAGTTAAGCAGGGGTTTTATGGGGAGTAGTTTTCAAGCTTGCTGAAGAAGCCTCAGCCAGCTATGGATACCTGTTAGTGTTTATTCAAAATTTAAATGCCATAAGCTAGCTTTGTTGTCATGCACCTAATTAGAAAATAGTCAGCTGTGTGACACTGATTTCAGTGATCTGGAGAGACCCAAGTCACCTGAAAGATCTGATGTAAAGTGGTAGAGAGATGTCTTAATAGCTGGTACCACAAAGCATAGAAAATACATTTTTGTTACTATGCATTGCTACTGTAGTTGTTGGCAAAGATTAGTTGAAGAATATCTATAAGGAAGGAGGAGATTCGAGAATGTTATTGTTAGAGGCAAGGAATATTTGAGGAATACTGGAGATGTAGCAAATCTTCAAGTACAGATTGCTGCTGAAAGAGAAGATCCTGTTCTTCTGCCCCACCATCACCCTACTATAAAATCTTATGACTGGGTCACCACGAAGTGTGTCACTTCACCTTGCTTGGGCAACATTTTAGTTCATCTAATTGAGTGGTTTTTGCAAGCTGAGCTGAGTTAACCTGTGGTGATGAGCACTTGATCTAGCACAAAGGAGGTGTTGGGAGGAGAGCTGGGGTGGAGCAGTAAAGGAGGAGTTAACAGCAGTCTGCAGTTTTGCTGTAGTAGGCTCAAGGAGAGACTGCACCCTCATGTGTGTACTGGACTTATTTAAGGCAAACATGAAGAAGAGGTATGAAGAAGAGTAAACATTTGAAATTATATGGGTTTTCATTATAACTTACTTTTACCTACAGGATCAGACAAGTGGAAGGTTGCCGAAAAAAAGCTATTCAACAAAGGCATTGCAGTCTACAAAAAAGACTTTTTCTTGGTCCAAAAGCTTGTAAGTTACTTTTGTTTGTTTTTATGATACATTTTTACATGTTTGTTGAACATTTTATACAGGAAGTTCAATCTTGATTTTTCTGAAACCTCAGTTTTAGGTCTAGCATTAAGTCCCATACTCAAAAGATTTCAGAGGAATGTCAGCCTCCAGCACAGCATGAGATCTCACCAGAAAGCTAAGCAATCATGTTTGTTTTGCTTAACCCTGGTATTTAAACTGCATTACTTCCATAAGTCCATGCTACAGCTATCTCCTCTGCAGAGCACATTTATAGAGCATTGGCAGTGTTTAGCTTAAATGGCTTGCTGATAAAACTAAAAAGAAACACATCTTTGCCACTGATTGAGAGGACCAAAGAAGGATACGAGAATGATGCATCCTTTAGATCTCTCCAGTGTTGTGACAATGATAGGAGAAATGATCACTCCCATGTTTTGATGAGGTATGACTTGTCAGCAAGGGGGAAATCACTGAAGGAGAGTGCAAAACCAAGAACTGCAAACGTATTTACTGAATAAAATCCCCAAAGACATTTAAATTGCAAAAGCTCAGAAGTTGAAAATATATTCCAAACATTTCAGAGAAATCACTGATGCAGAATATGTAGATGGTCACAAGTCCATGCTGATAATTGTCCACCACCATATGCCTACAAATTGCACATGGCCAAAACGGGAAGGGGCTGCAAACCTTTACTTCCATTTTTGGATTGGTATTCTGGTCTGGTCTTCTCTGAAGTGCTGCTGCAAAATAAAGCTCCTCCATAAAACTGAGAAGCTGCTGTCAAGCCTGATAGCTCCACTGGAACATTTCAGAGGCTAAGAGGTGCATTAAGCTTACAAAGTTCCAGGTTCTGTCACCTTTACATTAACCAGCTTTTCTTTGGAAAGTTTGTCCTCTAGTTCTCAGTGAGTAACAGTGGCAGTAGGGGATATGCTGGGGCATGAGGCAGACAGGTGAATATGACACAGAAAAAGAGGCTTGAACAGCAGCTGTGGTGGAATGGAAACTACTAAGGAAAGAAAATACAAAGTATATTTATTGCACCCCTAGTAATTATTTATAAATCTTTTTAAAATCATGTAATCCACTGGAGTTTTATGTTTTTTAAACAACAGATAAAAACCAAAACAGTGGCTCAATGTGTAGAATTCTACTACACATACAAGAAACAGGTGAAAATTGGTCGGAATGGGACCTTAATCTTTGGGGACATTGATGGTGCTAATGAGAGATCAATGAAAGATGAAGCTGAAGTTGACATCAAGGTAAGTAATTTCCTAAATTTCTCTCACCTCTTTTGGGCTGTGGTTTGAAGTCTTGTGTATTGTCTCATTTACTGGTCAAATCAAAAGCACAAACAATCTGGCTTCTCCACAGGAGTCCAGACTCACAAATTTGTGTCCTGTGTCAACATAATGTCATTTACCTACAGGCATCAGAATTAACAGTTCCTTTGTCTTCTGGTGAAGAGTTCCCATAGGTTTGCACGTGTTCTTCCTCTCAGAAGGGACATCTTCAGTGAGGAACAGGGGCATGTGGAGGAGGAGGAGGAAGAGGAGGAAGAAGAGGAGGCAGAGGAAGGGTTGGAGAACAGAAAGAGGAGCGCCGATGCTCTGAAAGATGAACAGACACTACAAGATGGTGTAATAGTAAGTGCTGCATTGTGCATGTTGTGCTGTCTATGCCACCTTCACTTTGCAAATGGTTTAGAAAACATGTGGGCAGTTCCAGATGTTTCCATCTCTAACTTCTGGAGCAAGAGATTGGGCTGAGGTAGATCAGAGTGTTACTATCAATCAGACTGTGAGCTGTGATGAGAGAACTGGGATCTGTAAGGTGGAAAAATGCAATGTATTCTTTGTGGCTGGTGGACACAGAGGGCCGTGATGAGAAATATCCTTAAAATAGCCTGAAGATTTTGCCATTAAATAAAACCTTTGTCTGGAATGAGTGAAGCACAGGAGCTCAGCCACTATCTTCCTTCTGATGGTGGGTTTAAGTGTCACTTTGACTCAATTCTTCTCCTCTTTGCTAAGGCCAGCAACACCAATATGAGGAGTCACGAGGCAACTGTCATGGGCAGAATTGGGAGGAAGCCAAGGGAGACAACAGTGAAGCCTCGAAAGCCTATTACTGCTCCAGTGCAGAGGAAGAAGAGGAAACAGAAGATAAAACCAGATGCTGCCAATAAAACACAAAACACAGAAAACACATTTCCATGTAAAAAATGTGGCAGGTAAGACCAACTCTGCTTCCAGCAATAGTCACAGAATCACAGTAGGGCATCTCCTGTGGAAGCTTTTTCCCAAGTGAACTTTCTGTCTTTCTATATAGGCCATAGACATTGGCAATAGCTCTAATTAATTACTGCCCCACTAATACTTGCAAATTAAGGCTTGTTTTTCTTCAAATGACATGAGATACCACCTGTATTTCAGCTGTGTACAGTAGTTGGTGTTAAGCTGCACTTTCAGGCAGCTGCTGTGTTGACCCTCTGTAATGCTTACATTTTTGTAACAACAAGTTTCTATGTATTTGCTAGATCACATATAAAGAACATGGTATAAACTTAAGAACAGTGATCTAGAAACACGAGACATTACCATCATTATTGCAGCAGCTTATTAGGTTTAGTAGGTACATAGTTCATCTGGTTACATTTGCAGCTGTCTTTGGTAGATGTCAAATATATTTGTATTTCCTCACACAGTTTTAGTAGTTTTTGTATGTCTGTTGCCACCAGAATCAAACAGTCAAGAAAATTCAGTTCCCTACATAAGTTGCTTACTCTTAAAATAACAGGACAAGCAGACAAGGCTTCTTAATGATGTCTGAACTACACTTGTGGCGCTTCGTGCAAAATCCAAATAGTTAGTGGTGGAGGGTGAAGAACAGATCACAGAAATGTAGAGTCAGAAGGAAAAAGCTCAAGTATTTCGAGCTCTGTGGGCAAGGCTCAGGCGTGGCATTGGGCCATCATTTGCCTCACTGCTTATGGTATTGTTGCAGCACAGGGGTATGCCTGAAAACCAGGGCTATGTTAAGCAGCACGTGCATAATTCAGATACCAGCACTGCCCCTCTGAATTCACAGCTGAATGAGAAATGGCCACAGTAAGAAATCAAGCTCAGGATCCCCTGCTAGCATTGCACCTTGCTCTCCATGTCCTGAATGGCGTTTGCTGTAGGTGCTCTATCGCAGTGCCTGTGGGAGTTCCGGAGCTGAAGCTCATGAACTTGAGCCAGAGCAGCAGAAGCTCTTCCAGAGAAGTGTTGAAGGAGGCCGTAGGAGAGGCCAATGCTAATGTCCCTGTGTGCTTTCCTTAGGGTGTTCTACAAGGTGAAGAGCCGCAGCGCTCACATGAAGAGCCACGCGGAGCAGGAGAAGAAGGCGGCGGCGCTGAAGCAGCAGGAGAAGGAGGCGGCGGCGGCCCGCAGCCAGGCCCAGCAGGACGAGAGCAGCGACAGTGGGAGCAGCAGCAGTGGCAGCAGCAGTGCCAGCTCGGATGAAGATGGAGAAATATAGCAGGAGACCAGAAGTGGAGGGAGTAGCAAGGCTGGACCCAACCTCCCTCTCGCTGGTCTCATTTGTTTTTTGCTTGCACTTTTCTTACCTGAACCATCTGGTTTTGGTTTCAGTGCTGCCATTTTGTCATACCACATGTTCCACTTCACCTTGCCAGTACTGAACAAGCCAGAATGGTGGATAACAAGATTTGTTTCAGCTTGGATTTTTTTTTAAGACTGATAAGATTCCTATTTATAATGATACCCGAGGTACATAATAGAATAATGTCACCTGCAGTGGAAGTAAGTTCTCTCAGGTCAGTCAGACCTTTCTTTTTGTTCTTGTCAGGAATTGTAGTAGGACTCTTGGATATAAAGGTTTCCAGACTGGAGCAAGAAAATGAAGCTCTACTTTGAGCTAAGTGTATCCAGTTCCTATGACACTGGTGATTTCCAGTTTTTTCCTTTCTTAGCAAGTTCTTCTTCTTTTATTCTTTCCTGCCTTTCTTTCTGAGCAGTTATTCAGGCAGACAACAAGTTTTGTGGAAAGATGGTGTGCACTTTAGACCTCTGTTTCACAAAAATGAAAAGTAGGATGAGCAAGACACTCTTCTTCCTTTTGAGAGGAAGTTTTATTTTTCAAACGGAAGCCTGAGGTCAGTTATCTTATGGCATTAAGAACATAGCAATGGATATGAAAATATCCTGTGTGATAAGAGTAGCCACAGGCCTTGCAGGTTGTCTCATCTTGGAAAACAAAATAGTCAGCCTTTGATTAACTTAAAGGAGTCTGGGCTTCACAAGTGCAATTTAAAATGAAAATTGCTGGGTTTGAATTTACATAAATGGGAGCAAGTTTGTTTAGTGAAAATGAACCCACATCTTCTTGTGTGCACCTCAAAAATGGGAGGAATGGAGTCTCATCTCCAGCAGTGATCCCTCTGTGAATGCTTTTACCTCTCAATATCCTCTTCTCTCTTGTAGCAGCCCTCATTTACTCCTTGAAATTGCCATCATCAAGCTTTTATGGCAGGGCCCTAGTTTCCCAGGCAGTTGCTGTCAGACAGTATGTGCAGGAGAAGCTTGTCACCCACTTGCACACCAGTGGCAGGGCATTGCTGCCTGCTGGGTTGTCCTGCCATGAGCTGTTCTCTTTGCTGAAAGGCTGACTCTTCTTCAGAACTGACACAAGCTAGTAGCCCAAAAAGTCTAGCCGCCAAAAGCTGCTGGTGAAAGAGAGTTAAGAAGAAGCGGGCCAGGTGACAAATGTTAAATTCGCACAGGATTGTTCTGTACATCTTTATAGCCCACAGTTATCATTATTTTGTAAGGATGCAGAGAATCACTTGTGCTTCATGGCCAGCTGGTGCCATCCTATAGCCTGGCTGCCCAGCTTCCTCCCTCCATCCAGTGCTTAGGAGCAGCAGTGATCCCCAGCTTCTTGGCTGCTGGCACTGCGTCAGACCAGACTGTAGGAGCTGATCGCTCCTGCCTTCCCCAGCAGGGATCCAAGAGATGTCGTTGTATGTGAACTACTGAGTGTGCCTGACTGGCAGATTTTTTTTTATTTAAATCTTGACCCTTCCAGCTGCTAGATAAATTCCTGGTTAACTATAGAAAGAGGCTGTAACTCCAGCTTGTTGTCTGTCAGTCATCTTGCCCTGTAGTTTTATGCAAACATGATGGCTTCACTCTTTTGTTTGGGAGGCATTGTATTGTACAACATTTGCTTTGACATATCTATGCCTTTGCATAGAATCCTTTTTCTGAATAGCAGAAACAGTTACTGCTCTTACAAAATCAGGAGGAACATCATTAAGGACTGCACTCTTTGTAAAGTTGACACTTTCACCTGTAAGTGTTCAATTTTCTGTCAAGATTGTATTTTTCATTCCTGTCAAAACTGGGGTTCCTTTCAGCACTTAGATGACTCTTCCATGTTCCTACATTGAATGGATCTTGTTGACTAAGTAAGAAACACATGGCATATTGTGAACTGTTAAAATCATTAAAAAACTGTGGAGAACTAAAAGCTGCTTCTTTAAGAAGAAGCTTAAGCAAATCAGTCTTCCTCTTTAAGATTTCAGTGTTGATTTATATTTTTTTTCTTTTATAAATTGGGGGAAATGCTTGTCTGCCATTATCTTAGGGCCCTTGGAGAGAACAGAAGCTTTAGCACACTGTGTCAGGAGGAAGAGTAGGTGAACCAACTGCAAGCATTATTACAGTCTTCCAAAGGCCAGATCGTTCACTGATTATCCCTACTTTAGGAAACTGATATAATTTTTCCTCTTGTCAAGGACAAGGTGTTGAGGTGCTGGTTAGAACAAATCAGAGTTTTTTCTTTACTTGCATAAAAAGATTGTGTAAATTATGTACTGATTCCAGTACTGCTTGTTTCTGTCCCACCCTGCTGCAGTTTAAGAAGAATGGAACAGGAAAACTGGACACAGTCTGTTACTGGAAGAAAATCCCAAAAGGGCTTTTTTGAGGATAACCTCTATAACAGCTGTGGGTTAGCAGGGCTGACCACAATCAGGTATATGTGCTAAGTGGCATCAAGTTGGAACGTTTCTGAGCATACTTCCAAATTGCCAGTAGCCCCCAGAAGACTTCTTTTCTGGCATGGTAGTAAGTAAAACAGTTCCTCGAAGTGTCATCTTAAAAGACAAACAAGCAAACCAAGCCTTCTATTCACTGGCTTACAGAAGGAGTTTGGAATTGATCCTGCATTTGAATTAGAGCTTGCCTACTAGCAAAAGTTGGCAGAGAATTGTTTTTTAAAAAAAGAAGAAAACCAAAACCCAAACAACTGTCCAATTTCAGTGGACAAAGCATTTAAATTGAATTTTTCTAATCTGGAATGAGTTATGCTCCTACTTTTTGTGAGGGAAAAATAACTAGAGTGGCTCTCTACTGCAGCACAGTTAATTAAAAAGTTTGTTATTCCAGTTAAGATTTAAAAAAACCCATCCCAAACAAACAAAATGCTTCTCAATGTTCTGTTGATATGTCTGTTTTAAAACTCCATGCTCATTATTTCCCATCATTTAAGGGCCTATTGATCAATCCCCATTTAGTGTAAGGGTTTGCTGCTAATTTACAAAAAAAGGCAGAAGAAAGTCATTAATTTGAACAAGGTGTCTCTTCACTTTGAAGAACAAATGGGAACAAATATTTATAGAATGCAATTCTGTACATGTGTACTAATAGATTTGCCTTTTACAGTGCAGGATCAGGCTTCAGGTGGTCATATACCCCTCAGTATATGTATTTCAGATCATTACCTGCTTGAGCCTCGATGCCAGCCCTGGGCATCATGGAGGTGCAGTGACAGGTCACGCTTGCCCTGATCACATACTTCTGCCTGTGCTTCTGCCTGCCCTTTACAGATAGATTCAGTCTTTCAGGTCTGTGATCTGCATGGGATAGCATCTGAGTTTTGTAAGACTATGTGTGTATGTAATTACTAGATAGATGCATGCACTTGTGATGCAAATCTGATATAGCTGCAGGTGTTTTGCAGTCTAGCTGCGAGAACCACTCTGCATTTTAATTTACTTGATGTTTGTTCTTTTACTGATACAGGTGATGGAATCAGAGAGAACTTGGCTCTGTAAGTTGAAGGCCTACAGAATTTTACTCAGCTGTGCAGGACCATGGCATTTTCCTGGCTAGAAAGAGGTAGGGATGTAGCTGCTTAAAGGCAGGACAAAGATAGAAATTCAAAAGCTTAAAGGTAATTAATCTGTTAAACCCATTGTAGATAAAGTCCAATTTAACTAAAAATACTGTGATTTATCACACTGAGGCTTTTAGTCATTTTTATCACTGCAACAAGCTTAGATTAAAATCAACACTTTTCAGAAAAAGTCTTTCTTAAATCACAAACGTGAGCTTTCTCACTCTCTGCAGTTACACTCTTGTTAATTCTCTTTCAGGCAGTGGACTAGAAGGTTCCTGCAGATACATACTGTATTTTAAAGAAATGGGAGTAGGAAGGACTATAACCATAGGAATCTTGCTTTCATACAATGGCACATTTAGTCTAATGCTTACCAGAAACCTTATTCTAATACACATTTTCCCACACAAACTTTCTCCCTGCTTTATCTTCTGATGTATGTCTGGAAGTTTATAAAGCTTTAAAGAGACAGAGAAGTGAGTCTACAAATCATGTTTGATTTCTGGGGGGGCTTGAGTTTCTATGTAAATTCGTCACTTGGGTTCAGCTGCTTTACTTTCCCTCCTTCTCTCCTGTGTCATATGTTAGGAAGACACAAACTTTAAATCCCAAGCTGTCTAAGGATCTTTCTTTCCAAGACTAAGATTCTGCTGACAGCTGAGCCTGAAAAAACCCTTAACTTCTCCAGATTAGAAGACAACATATATTTTTATAGAAATATAATTGTGTATTTTAAAAAAGTTTCCTGCAGCTTATCCACGTGTATTTTTTTCCCTTGTAGCTCAGATTTGATAAAAAACTTTTTTGTGTTCATTCTTTTTATGTTCTGTTTTTAAATTTGTAGTCAAAGCTTTGGTGTACTGTACAGGAGCAGTCAGCCTTTGTAATTACTGTATAAATGCTTTATAATAAAGTATATTACTTTTATTTTAACAAATAAGCAGACACTTCCTTTTGTGTGTCTGCTGCCTAGGGCACCTTTTAAAAGACTGTTACATGTTTAAAATGTACATATATAAATATATTTACCTGTTGCTGTACAGTTGTGATAGACTGGACTGAATTTATTTTTTGTGTGCTTTTTTATAAAATATTAATACACTAAAGGAAATCTTTGCAGATGTGATTGTAATGTACTATGTAACTTATTTACTTAATATCCTCTATATATCTAAAAAACCTTTTATTAAATGAGGTTAAAAACAGTCTCTTAGCTGAGTTTTCGATGGTATGAGGGAGTGGCCGGGGGCTTGTGCAGGCTGTGATGCACAGGAGGCTGTCCTGAGTCCTTCTGGCTGGTCTGCTCTCTCTTTGGACTCCCCTGTGTTTCCCACAGCAGCTCTGGTGGCTGTTTCTCACCTTCCCCTAAGACACAAGCCTGCACTGTGTTTTATGTCTTACATCCAAGAAAGTAACTGGCACCTGCCAGGAGCCCCGAGGAATCTGCAGCTCCACCGTTTTACAGAAGTGTTGATGGGATGTGTGTTCCCCTCCAAGCCAAGCACGCTCACAGAAAGACAGAAACAACCTTGACAGTGTGCTAGGAATTCCTGGGGAATAGTTCTAGGTCTGCTGTGCTCTTAAGTAAGGCCAGTGGGATTCTGACACTACCTGAAACAACTACAAAGACCATGGGCAAGGCAAAGACATCGTGGAGTAACTTCGTACCTGATGGGCCTGCATCAGATGAGAACTGTGCAATGGCTGCAGTGGTAGATCACATGGTATCACACTTTCAGTGATAAAGTTTGAAAAAACTTTTAGTAAATACTGTCTTAAAGGCACTTACCTGTTACTTGAATCTGAGGGGGGGGATTTCACAGGTTTTGTTACACAGCATGTATTTTGTTTCTTCTGGCAGCAGTTGGATCTCTTGCCATATTTATGAGGATAGATGGAAGCATATTTAAAATCCCTATCTTGGATTTTAAATATGCTTCCATCTATCCTCAAAAGATCTTCCTTCTGTTTTGGTACTTTGCCTTTTAGTTAACTAGGCTACACAGGTTTCTCACACCCTGTGGGCATGATGTCTTTAAAAGCTACAAATGCTACATAAAGCAGATGGCAGAAGTGCGTACCAGTCCCGACTGGTCTCCTGTGAGATTGCACTTAGGATCTAAGGCAGCACACCTCTTAATTTATGCTGACCTTTTCATTTCAATATTTTTGGCAAAGCTGGCAGGAGAAAGACTCGGCCCAAGACATGAAAACACTGATTTTTTCAGCTCAGTGTAGAAGTCCTTGTTTTAGTTTATTCCTGTGCCTGTGGTGGTTGGATCAGCAATAGCATTGGGAGAAAAGAGTATTTTGCTTGGTGTGTGAAGAGACAGGGAACACTTAAGCCTTCACTTGAGATAACAGACCAGGACTTAAAGGCTTTAAATCATGCATTTGCCTCCCTGTCAGAGCCAGCTGACAAAAGTACTGAAGTCTTTGCACTAAATCTGAGGCTGTGCAAACAAACCTTGGATGATCAAAAAACGCACACATTTTGAGCAATTTGGGTTCTGTCTTTTTTTAACTGCTGGATCTAAGCCCAAGCTTCTGGAAGTTATTTCAGCTACTGAAAGAAACCTTATAAAGCATTTTAGTGACTAGTAAGCTTTGAGTTAGTGGTACTGTGAGGAGTTCTGCAGTAACTCCCTATATGCTTTCCAACCATCACTGTAGGATGCTGCTCTTGTCATTATTGAGACTAACTGCACTGGATTGTGGGGTAGGAAGAGTTTTCTTTATATCAGAATTTTGAAATTACATTTCAGTGACATGGTCTACTGAAGGCTGAAGTTTCTATTAAAGAAGGCTTTGAATCAGGTAGCCTTCCCCTGTCTGGGTTTAAGGGAACTGATTGTTTATTACTGTTAATAGAATTTAAATTCAAAGTGAATTAGTAATTTTGTACTGAAGAAAGACCAACCATTTCTCTACTTACCTGGATATTTTTCTACATATACCAGTAGATTTTCTCTTAGGACCTAAGAACAAATTCTGACAACCAACATCTTAAAAGATTGAAAAATATTTATGTATCAGATGACAACAATCACAATATATCAGCAATTTTAAAGCCTTAAGTTATTTTCTATTCTAAAATATAGAGGCAATAAGGAACAGCATTTACATGCTATCATACTCTAAATACATTGCTTCCTGAGCAGCCAGGAAAGTTTAATGAGAACAAAATTTAGTTTCCAAATACTCTTCACAAGCTGAACTATTTCATTACACATCAGCCAAAGACATTTGTATAAAATAAGGTTATATTATTTTTGAACAAGTTTCATATTTATAAACATAGGCCTAAATAATTTAAACACAGCAAATTTAACAGTTTTTCATGCTACAAAATTACTGTATAAAAAAGATTGCCAAAGAGGATGTTAAAAGTGCTGTCTTACTTGGAAGTTTTTTTAGATGAGCCTACTTCTAGTGTAACCTGAGTCATCTGCTTGTTCTCAGGTCTCTTATGTCATTTTTCCATCAGTTCTCAATAATCACTGCATACATCAATCAGCTCTTTGAAGACAGGTGAGTGTGCCAACAAGCAAGCAAAAAAACCTAGCTAGCTCCTACCACTAATTTAATTTTAGGATATTTCTCTAAGGAATAAAGTGGATGCTAGTCAGCTGTAACTTCACTGGGAAAAGCAGAATTCCCCATGGCTTGCACATTTTATATGGGTGCCCTTTTTATTCATGAATAATAGTGTACTTACTACTTCACTGGATGTGGTGTGATAGGGAACAGCAGAGTGCACATGTGAAAGCCAGACCTTCCAGCATGTCACTTCAATGTCCCTGTGGGCACACAGGCCAAGGTGACACTGTCACCTTATACATAACATCGTGTAGCACCACCAATATACAAACCAGCTGTTTTAATTCTACCACCTCTCTATGTCTTCCATCACATTCAGTGCCTAATTTTAAAGTGCAAATTTAAAAATTTAGGGAAATTACTTTGGAGGAGAAAAAGTTTGGGGAGGTTGTTTTGTTCTTGAGAGTAATCATGACTCATTAGGCAAAGCAAGATAAAGTGAAGCTACCAGCTTTACTTTGAGACAAAGTATCTCCTGATAAAAGCCACAGTCAATTATTTTCTTACTGTATTGTTTCAATGAGACTGACACATAGTTTTTATCAGAATGGTTTTAAATTATGTTCTAAGACTAGATGCTCCCTTCCTTCAATAATGATTTTTTCTCCTTTTTTTTTTTTTTTTTTTTTTTTCCTTTTTTGTTGGTATTTATAATGCAGCCCTCAAAGAAAAGAGCTCGAGAATTTGTGCCATTTCATCTGTGGAAAGCACCAATGCCAGTGGGCCACACAATCCCCCAGCTCTACCACCACCTACGATAGTTTTGGACTGATCCCTGTAGGTGTAGCCTCTGTTGATCACTTACAAGAGTCAGGAACTGCTCTTATCCCTCACCACTTGTCAATGGATCTGTGTTTCACTTCAATCATTACAACATAGTCAGAACACTAAATTTCTATTCTGCTCTCAGAATGCCCCAAATAGCCAAAGTGTAGAGTATCTGCTGTATCTAATGTAACCTTCAGAAATGTACAGACTTAGGCCGTATTTAAAGTATCAGCCAGCAGGATTACTTGGCATTGGACTGTGCTCATCACTCCCTTTTCCTCCTGTCACAATCATGTGTGGAGCTAAGCCAGCCATACACACCACTTGCAGCTGTGCTGGGAGAGACTGGTCCACAGCTTCAACCACTTTTCTTTGTGGCCAAGCACTAGGAGAAGAGCACCATGTGGTCTATTCTGAAAATACCTCCAAACACAGAGATGAATTTGGCATTTCTGCTTGTTGGGATGATTCAGAAGGCAAGTTTTGAGTCAGTCAAGCTCTGGCTCACATGAGCTACACTTTGACTACAGTGGTCAAGGGCACAGCCAATCCCCTGTGGGTCCCCCCCAGCAGATGGGGCCAACAGGGCCTAAGTGTGCCACGGGCTCTGTACTGCCCAAGCACACAGTTCCACCTTGCCAAGCGTGGTTGGCTGCAAGCGAACAGAGTGGCTTGGCTTCAAAAGATGGATGAAATGACTGCTGGCTGTAGACACTCCTCCATGGTGCTTCTTGGTCAATGCTGCCCTTACTCATAATAAAGCTAGGAGAATACTTCTAAAGAAATAACAAAAAAAAGTGAACTAGCTAACTAAGAAAGTAGTTTCTGGTAAAGAGAACAGCTGCCTGGAAATAGTTTGTGCTGGGTGAAGAATGTCCAGAGTTCTTGCCATTGTGCTCTTGACTTACTTTTAGTAATGGATCCAAATAAAATTCTTCAGCAAATGCAAACTTAAATCAGAATGCTTTAGAATTCCTTCAGTAATCACAGATTAAATAGCAATATATTGAAATTAAACTGTGATTGTCTTGTAATAATTTACTTCACAGTGTTCAGTTAGAAACTGATTAGAGAATTGCCTACTACAATTATACTTGGAGCTTGAGATCTGTAACACTGTTGCCTGGGCCAATTCTACCATTCATCTCTGAACTTGGCTTCCAAGATTTCAACTCTTGCCACACCTTCACAAACAAAATAACTAAGAGTGTCATTCTGACCCCATCCCTTCCATGCCTGGGCTGGAACCAGCAGATATATTTGTCACTTCAATTTCAAAAAAAGATGGTACCACAAATTAGAAGAAAACTTGTTAAAAAAACAGAAAGGAACTGCAGAAAAATCTACTCAGGTGACTCCATCTGTTCTTCAAAGAGAAGAAGAAAAACTGCACTTTTGGCATCCCACAGTGAAATCAGGTGTGTCTTCATGGTTGTTCAATGCTTTTCACTAGAAGTAGCCACATAAGGGTGCTTTACTAAAACTGGTTACCCTGCAATATAGCACATTCGGTACCTCTTCAATACTTTTTTTACCAATGCCCTCATCATCTCATCTCATCTCATCTCATCTCATCATCCCACTGTCCCCACTAACTACATATACTTTCTCTCACTGCTTATACCTGTGCTTTCACAAAAAATTAGTATCCCCAAAATCAAAATTTTCTGTCCTCAAGCCCAGGTCTTCTGTTTGCTGTTAGTTTCTCTGTTACTTTCAGCCTCCTTAGTTACCGGAAGATTCCAGAGCTAAGAAGGGTTGTGTCCACCAGTGACCCAATCCAAAGCCAGAAACCAGCTGTAGGCTAATAGGCAACATATTCCAAATTAATGTCTTAGTAAGAGACAAAACCCAAAGTTAGCAGGTATTTTAGTCTTACAGAAACCATGCAATGAATTCCCATTACCTCTTAAAAATAAATAAATATATAAGTTATACATGGCCTTCTAAGGAATGCAGTTGAGTTCCAATGTGAGAAGCCCATTTCGAGACTTAAAGCCAGGAACAAATGCTCATCAAACCAATACCTTTTTTGTGCGTATGCAACTACGGGGCCTGTTTGGCATAACACTTCAAGGAATGAAAAGGCAAACTCACATATTAAAACTATTGAGAAAGTCCCATGACAAAATTAAACACAACAAAGCTCGTCAGGTGTCTCTAAACCACAACATTATTCTTCTGGCCTCAGAGTTTCCAATTCAGTGTTGGCCAGCAGCACCAAATAAGCTAAACCAGTTCTTTTATAATCCAAGAGTCAACAACAAGCACCACTAATCAGGAATTAAAAATAGCTGTGTATTAATTTAAATAAAGATCTCTTGCTAGCCAAACAGCAGGTAAACTCAGCTCCACTAGTCTCTACAGAAGGTCTCATAAGCTTGACAAAACCAGTGTGAGCAATTTTTGGTAACTAACTCTTTGGGTGAGAGATTGTGGAGATAAGTTGGTCTTTTAAAAGCTGCCCAAAGATTCTCTTCAAAACAAATACTTTTATAAAAGTTTATGTGCAAAGCTATCTGGAGTTATTTTAATAATTTAACACCCAATAAGAAAATGTCATCAGTTTCCTCCTTCTGCTCCTTCTGCTCCTTCCGCTCCTTCCGCTCCTTCTTCCTCTTCTCCTTTAACAACTAAAGTACCTAGGAGAAAAAAAAAATAGGAAAAGAAGAAGAGGAAGACATAGTTAATTATGATCTACCTGAAATTATGAACTTATCTGAATTATGAATTATGATCTTATCTGTCCTGTTGGAAAGAGTCAAGAGTTGTATTTCCTGCCTGTTTCTAACCACCATGAACTTCTGCATGCCTCAACTGCTCTTAACTAGAAAAGCCTTCGACTTATGAGCTCCTCTGCTGTTGGATGTTTTTCCAACTTCTTGGGTAACGGGGAACAAAAAGGTACTAAAGTATGGTCTGCAAAAATCAGCCCCACTTGGTCTCTGGGAGATGCACCAAGTCAGTTCAATTGCTAACAACATACCCTTCTCTTGTGGGGCCCCTACTTATGCTGCCTTTTCCAGGACATATATGCACAAACTTTAGTGTGGTTAGTAATACTACCAAGGGCACTTTTTGCCCACAGATATGTGCCCCATTCCTTTTTTTTTGTTTTACATTCTAAATTTTTCCTATTACAACAGCAAATGGACCACTGCAGGCCATCCTTCCTAGCAGTGCAATTCTCTCATCAGGCTTCCGCTTTCTAAGAATTTTTTTTACTGCAGTTGATCTGGTTTTAGATAGAGCCTGGTAATAGGCTTCACATCCACTGCTCCCTGTAGTGAAGCTGTCTGCTCTTGTTGACATGCCCCTTCCCTTCCCTTCCCTTCCCTTCCCTTCCCTTCCCTTCCCTTCCCTTCCCTTCCCTTCCCTTCCCTTCCCAGCTGTTATTCTGACTCTATGTTAGTGTTACCACTCCTGCTCTCCCCTTCATTGCTTTAGTACACAGGGGATAATAGTGAACAGCTACCATCTCCATTGACAGGAATTAACATATTTTAAAAGAGATTTCAGAATTATCTCATTTTTAGTCACTAAGCGGTTGAATAACTTTTCATAGCAGTGTCTTAAATAGGAGAGGATAGCTCACAAATTGAGGCTTACTGCAGTAATGGAGGGGGATATTCAAGCATTTAGGAAATTTGTATGCAGATTTGAAAATTTGCTCTTGCATCAAAAGCAAACCAGAACATATTCCTGTCTATCTCCATTATCTCATGTCACCTCTTTTGTTGGGAAAACTGTAATTCAGCTTGGCAGATGAAAGCCTTGTTAATTTATTTAATGTGAAATCTTTCCATTCCCTATTAGGTATTTGATAAAACTACTTGGGTAACTACAGAATAATGCACAACTCTAGGTTGCAAGACCACTTGGATTTAGCACTCCAAAATCCATCAAACACTGTGGCCAGGATCTCAGTAACTACTTCTGAATAACTCTGAAGAGGAGGGAGGAATTTCATGGGCACACAAATGAATCTCTGAGGTTATCTTTAATTTCCCTGTGGTTGTCGTTATATTAAGCTTTTAACTCACCATCCAGCTTTTTCAGCTTAGGTACCCGTTTGGTTGCTTCTTCAATCCAACTGCTCTGATCAGCAGCAAATTTCTCTTGTAGTGGATTGCCTACAAACACCAGTTCCTCTAGTACTGGCACCTCTGCTAGCCTCACAAACTCTGCTGCAACCACAAAGATGAAAACAACCACCAGATTGTGGAACATGGAAAGTACATCTGCACCACACATTCCTTTCACACTCAGTGCAAACATAAAGAGCATGGGATACAACAGGAGAGGGACTGCTTGGATTCTAACTGGTGTCAGGTTAAAGAACAGGGATGTGCTTTAAGAGAGGTTGGAGAAAGATGATTCAAAGCATGAACTTAATCTGACTTAGAAGTTAAATTCAATATTCTAACTATTTTTACTCTCTTGCATGAGTGGATGTTTAGGGATTTCGCACATGTCTGCAGGCTTGTCAGTTACAATTAAAGCTCCATGAGATACAGCACTATATTTCACTTGGTGACTTAACTCATGCATTCACCACACTACAGAAGTCTCTACAGAGTAGAGATGCATGGCTTACCCCAGTCTTTCACCAAATTATTTGACATATAAAGAACCTTCAGTTTCTTCATTACACGGATACCCCTCAGTTTCTCAATTAAGTTGTATGAGATCCACAGCTCCTCTAAAGTTTCAGCAACTGCCTCCTGGAAAACGACAGGACTACTCAGATAAGCAGAAGTACATCTTCCTTATTATTCACACTCTTTCTTCACCTTCTACAGGTAACATCACGTGAGAAAATATTAAGGTATATTGGTCCTCATTTCCTTTTAAGTAGGTCCCTAATTATAAGGCATGACAAATGCTCATGGGAATTAAAAGGCAAAGTTATATATGCAAATATATGTAAGGAGGAGAGAAATTGCTATATTAGAATAAAACAAGATGTAACTGGCTGCAGTAGTTCTTAAGGCAGAGGAGACAAATCTGCCTACTTGTGCACTGCATGCATGTGTGAAGAGAATGCAATTCAACAACTGCTTTGGAAAGGATGTTACACAGTGTGAGAGCATTTTTCATTCTGGTATTTTCTTGTATGTTTGTATGTGCTAGCCAGAAATCACATTCCTAATTCTCTCAAAACAAAGGTTTTTTAAAGCCAGTCATTACACATTAACTCTGCCTTTCACACTTAAGAGAGATGGCATCTCTGAAGGTGAGAACAGCTTTGAGGCGAAACAGTATCTCTTGAGAAAGAATTTATATAACCATTTTTAAAATGCTGATTGAAAAAAGTATTCTTCTGGCCTGAATTCAAATGTAACAAAATTGATCCAATTTTTTTCCTCAACTAATTTTCTCCTACTAGGTAGACTCAGTCCTGCCACCATCAACTCTAAAGCCATACTGTGTCAGGTGCCAGTTAATATAAAAGGGACTGACTCTAAGGAAGTGTGTTTTTACAGGACTGCCAATATTTGTATTAAAGAAGCACAGCCTAAGTATCTTCAGGTAGAAAATTCTGCATGCAAAATGTCTGCAGGAATTATATTCATGTAAAGCCAGCAGAATTTAAATGGCTTTACAGATAGACAGCAATTTTCAAATAGAACTTCTGATTATCTTTATTAAAGACAATAAAATCTCTCTTCCAAAAATTTTTCAGTGTAGGAAATTAAGGTAGAAAAATTTCCAAACATTAAGGGAATTTGAACCAAAAAAAAGTGAACAACTATCTGAAAATTCAGAAGCAATGTGTAAGAGTGTGAAGAGATGATAGCAAAAGGAGAACATAAAAGGTTAGTGCCTAACCTTTTATTCACTTAATTTTATTGAATTCAGCAAAGACTTGTATGAACACGGGGAAATTATCCCATATTCTATTTTATTAATGAAGTATTGATACTAAAAAGCACATACCAATCCATTCAGGTTCTTTATGTTATTTCTTCCCAAAGACAGAATCCTCAAATTTTCTGCAATAAATTAAAAAAAATCTCATTAATAAATGGGGTTTCTTTAAAATAAGAAGGTGCTGTAAGTCAGGTAAAATGCCATATTCTGCTTACAAACTGCACTCTGAACAGGCTACCTTAAGAAAGAATGACCTAAGAGAAACAAACCCTCCTGACCTAAACAGATCAGCAAGAATTGATGCAGGGGAAAGCTCAGAAATACACTCATGAATACAAAGCTGCTCAGCTATAGGTTACCTAGTTGAAATTCAGTTTTGATAAATACTGAACAAAAATTATTATTTCACCTTGCACCTGAACTCTAACTGCTGACTTGCTTCTTTTATCTTACATAATTCATGTCCCTTCTTCTCCAGGCAAAAGTGGTGCTGATCTTATTTTAAGGCAGCAGATTTGGTTTCTATACTACAGGCAGCATATAAAGCGGCCTTACAGATGCCTCATGAGAGACATTCAACTTAGTTCTAGTTTGTCTGGCTTTAGCATCAAATACTTGGTATAGACTGGATGTTTTGAATCTACATTAATATAAATATTTAAGATGCTTTAACAGCTTTTAATGTTTTATACCACTAAAAAATGTCATTGGTTTCACTTCTATGTATAATTGCCTAATTATTTTTTCTCATGGTAGTTACACAATTAAAGTATTAAAGAACAGTTATTTGGAAAGACTATTGGAATATATTTCCCTGACTAGTATTCCCGATTCTTTTGAAGTCTGAGCTTATTATGCAAAGAAATAAGTTTATCAAGCTCTTTGATAGATCTCTTGGTGTGCAGTTGGAAAGCATGAGATTCCAGGTTCCTTATCTATCCAGCTGGCATTTTAATAGGAACAGAAAAACCTGGAAGCTCCACTTCAAAGCCTGCTCCTCTTTGTCAGCCTTGTGCCACAGTCAAAATCTTGAAGACAGACCATTAAGACTTCTGTTCCAAAATCAGTAACCCAAGAGTTTCAAAGACAGGTGTCCAAGCAAGAAAAAAACTATTTCCAGACAGATGACACATCCATTTATAAAGTATGAACAAAATGAAACCAAGTATACCCAATCCTCTGCAAACTGGAATGACATTTTCTCCATCCAGTTCTACAACACTCCAACCTCACTGCAACCAATAATGCATTTGCAGAGTTGTTGAACTGCAGACTGTCTCCATCAGGAGCATGGAAAATAGTCATGACATCACTCTAGAACTGATTAGGTGTTGAATAGCACAGTAAGGCTCATGGGAAGGTACTGAAGTGCTTACTGAATAGAATTTTTTGAATGTTGCACTGTGAGACAAGTGTCAAGGCTAGTGCAAGGATACCTGCTGCAATACACCACTGCTGCTCAGCATGCATTCTCCAGTAAGACTGGTCATTTTAAAGGTCACTTGTAATGTTCTATGAGGAGGGAATAAAAAAGGATAATAACAGGTATAAATAAACCTGGACACATGTAACAAATGATGGCATATCTCCTAGCCAGGCAACTAGAAAACAAACACAATGGACAGCTGGCTTGTCACTTACTTAGGTTGTTCAAGTTGGCGATTCTATCAATGCAGTTTGTAGACAGTGATAGTTTCCTTTAAAAAAAGAATAATCAATTCACAATATATAAGGGATCACTACACTGGAAGAGTTCCATGTCCCAACACCACTACATTAGAAATAATTATATGTTCTTGTCTTATTAGATGGTAAACTAACTGGATGTGTAAGAGACTCAAAATATCCTCAAATCATTAAGCTTTATTTAGTTTCTGGGAAAGTACCATGAGTTACTTACATTAAATACTGGATTATCTTTTGATGCCTAGCCTTATGAAGTGCATGGATGTTTATTTCTGAAATTACTCTAATCTCTTTCTGGAAGTCTTGCTGAAATTGCCTCTTTTTTTCCATGGATTTTGGAGTGGATCATAAACATTTAGCTGATAGACTCCAAACACCAATCTATAATTATATACTGATAAACAGCATATAATTTTTCTGGGGACAAATATTAATGCAGAATCTACCCTAACACCTTCTGAGTTAAATTACAGGGGTCTTTGAATTAAAAAGGGCAATTGTGTGCAGAAAGAGAAGCTCAGTTAAGAAAGAAAGAAGAGAAAGTTGCTGCTTTGAAGGCCACACTTAAACAGAGTAAACACATACCTGCAGTGGACAGCAGAAAAACTGAAAGGAAGAGAGGAGGATATTTTGTTTCCAGCATGTTTTTAATTGAACTTACTCGCAGTTAACAAGAGCAGAGAGGGCGCCATCCATCTTTTCCACGGGAGGAATCTGCCCATACAGTTTCACTTCCTTTGCCTCTGAAGCTTTCTGGCCACTTTTCTCTTCCTAAAGAAAAGAGAAGGTGAGGAAGAGTCTCACTGCTACATGCAATTACCAAAAACTACTACACTAAAATAATTACTCTAAAAATGAATACTATAGAAGGAATTCACATATAATACTGGAAGGAGAAAGCATTTTGAGTACTGTTATCAGGATTCCTGCTAGTGTAGCATAAAAAGGGTAAAGCTAGCTTATTTTCAAGGTATCAAAATAACTTATACATTACATATGTTGGATTTTAAAAGTTGTGTAACACTTGAGCAATTTAGTAAAGGAGTCATCTGCCACAAGGAATGGAGAATAGATTGAAGGCTAAAATTCTGGGTTAAGATATTTCCATGGAAACTGACATACAGAAACCTCAGCTAGGGCCAATCTATAGCAGAAGCAGATTTAAAAGCTCTGACAAAAAAGTCTCCTTCTCACTTCACCTAGAAATCTCAGAACTCGTGCCCAGCTCACGACACAAACCAGATACAGGGGAGTGTGTTTTGGGGGAGAACTTCAACAGATTCACAGCATTAAGAATCTAAAAAAAATATTCTAATTAGCCATTAAGAAAGAGTGGGGGAAGATGTCACACTTAAGACAATACAGCAAAAGACAGATTTTCTATTGACAACCTAGGTTGATAATTCAGAGTCTTGAAAAAATGGACATAACTTCGGCATTTAGGTTTATTAAAAAATATCATCAATTAAAGCTTTTAAAATTCTGAAGTGATGGCAATTATTGACTAAACGCTTGGAACAAGTATCTGTTTAGAGAGTAGCAGCAGTTTTGACAGCTGCCTCCCTGACGGCACAAAGGGAGCATTTTCTCAGTTCACTCAGTGTTCACTGCAAGGACTGGAGGTCCATTAACAAAGGAGAAATCTTGGCACTTTCAAAACAAGGACTCTTGTTTTCTCCTCCATTTCATGCATCTACTGAAAAGAGTGATATCTGAGTGTGCCCCAGTTTATATGGCTACTTAAGTAATTAAGTTAATCACATCCCATAAGTCTTTCAGTATCCCACAGCAGAACATCAGGTTTTGATAACATTGTTTTTCCTCTTATGTGCCCAAAATACTTCACAAAACTTAATTTAATTTTAAAAGATCATGTTGTCTTGCACACTTACTTATATTCCAGTTTCTGTCCAAATTCAGTGTAACAGCATTTTTACTCAAAATTAATGATTTAGCAAATAAGCACATCAGATGTTTTGCTGGAATATGGTGATACATGTTCAAACAAAGTATCTATATCAATGTGAAACTTCCATTTTCTTTTCTAAGAACAGTACTGTATCTGTTTGTATTTACATTCAGTTTGTAATTTATGAGCTCATACCAACAAATAAAAATACATTTTTCCTTAAAAACATGAAAGGGAGAGAACTTCCAACACGGACTGGGCCAGCAGTGAGCTCACAGCAGTGAGCACCTTCAGGAAGAAAATTCATCCACATTGCCAAGTACTTCTGGAAGCAATTGCACAGCCACAATATGCCACAGAGAAAATATAGGTAGAACAGACATGTTTTTATAAGAACAGGTTACATGTTTGCCAAGTTGAAGCTGCTTTGATTTCAAGTTGCTTTGATTTAACTAATGTCACCCTGACTGCCGGGCATAGGTAAACCCTTATACCAAAAGGGAAGAAAAACATTTGGAATGCAACACAACACCAAATGCAATTGTACAAGCCACATGGATCCAGATTAGGAAGAGTAAAAGGAAGATTTAGACCCACCCCTAATAACTTGAACAGAAAAGCAAATTCAGCACTTTATGCCTAATGTTAATGGAAACTCACTGACACAGGCTGATTCTGAGACATGTGACAGAGGGGCAAATGGAAAATAAATCTGTTAATAGGAAACATGGAGCTGAAGTTCTGGAGGGCAGAAAGACTGAGGGAGGAAAAGCAAGCTACTTTTATACACAGTTTATACCTCTACTAATGCTTATGTCTGTAAGTTGTTGCATTCTAGTTCTTACTAGGAGAGCAGCAGTGAAGTCTGTGGGATATACCAACATAACTGGAAAACCCCTGAAATACTGAAGGTACTAAACAATGATAAAACTCAAAATTGAAGGAATCTTGAGTTACAGGCTAGTACTTTGAGCTTCTGGCTTACAAGTGTACCTACCCATGTGTTGTGGTTTGAGAGGAAGTAAGTTTTCTGAGATGCTGTGGTCACACCAATAAGTGTTCAGATTTGAGTATTGGCACCCGGTTTGGCCACTGAAGACATTGGATACGCCTCTGAGAACACAGGGGTTAAAAAGCAGAGCACTCGCGGGAGAAGTCTCTTTGAATTTCGAGAGGGAAGCAGGTCGGACCTCCCCTGCCCAGCTGTCTGCTCTGGGCAGGGGAGGGGCAGCCATGCGGCCGGGAGAGGTTGGCCTGGCCCCGAGGGTGGAAGGGTGGCATCGGACAGCCCCCACCCTAGGAGACAGAGAGAGAGAGAGAGAGAGAGAGAGCCTGTGCCTGAGACTGTTACTTTGAAATTTGATATAATGTGCTGGCAGCACAGCCCAGCCTGCGGAGAAGGAGGAAGCTGCAGCGAGAAGGTGTCCGGCCGCATGTGGGAGTCTCCAGGCGGGCAGAGCCTGAGTTTTAACCCCTTTTTAGACAATGAAAACTTTACAGAACATTAACCTTTCCTAGAAGAGAGATAGAGTAGAAGACGAAGAAAGAAATGGGCAAGTGTGATGAAGGTCTGAGCAAGTGAGAGATGTCGGAAGAGTGGAGAAGAATCTTAGGCAGGAAGAGATGATAGAGTAGCTTAGCTAGACTCTTCTTGTTATAGCCATAGACAGAACCACGTTCCTTGTGACACAGAGACTGCACCCAGGGGAAGGCGATGGCTCAGAACCAAGAGGGTTCAGTGTTAGTACCCCTCAGCCCCAGGGGGTGAAATTTGGGGGGACAGGTGTCCCAAAAGTGAGACTGTGCCCTTTTTTAGTACGGGACAAAACATCCTTAAAAAGACAACCCTAGAAGCAGCTCTGGTCCATGTGCAGTAGTGAGAGCACTGGACATAGAAAGAAGAGGTCATGACAGCAGATGTTCTCTGGACGGTGCCACATGTGACATAGAAACACACGAGGTTTCAACGGTGTTTCCAGGGAAAGCCTATGGCACAAGAAAGACTCCCCTCCTCTTGATTAATTGAGAATTGATTATCTACAGGGTGGTGATGGACCGAGAGTCGGTGATTTAGGGGATGGACGTACTGGAAATTTGGTGGGGGGAGGAGGAAATGTATTTGTAAGGTTTTAATTTTTCCTGTGTGTTCCTTTTTACATATAGTTGTAGTGTAGTTAATCAAGTTTTCTTTCCTTTATTTCTAAGTAGGAGCCTGCTTTGCTTATTCCTGGTCACAGCTCACAGCAGAAACCAGAGAGAGTGTATTTTCATGGGAGCACTAGCATTGTGCCAGCGTGAAACCATGACACCACGCTATCACATTCAGATCTTCCAGAGGCCAAAACATTTATAAATCATTGCTCTAGCAGCTGGCCAGAATTAGCAGGAAAGCATATGTACAACAAACAGCACATCTGTGCCTTCATCTAAAATTCAGAGACTGGGGAAAGATTCTCACTGGTTTCACTGGACAGCGAACCTGACCCTTGAGCATCCCTCATCATCATTTGGCATTACATCCCCATCCTTGCCAACACATAGCTTTTTGGAAGACCAGGTCAGCCACAACCAAATGAGCTTCTGTATGAATAGAGTATTTAAGAAGAAAAAAACCCAAAGAAACTCATTCTGAGTTAAGCTTTGCACAATATGAGGGACTATATGTCAAAAGACATGTAGAAGATTCACTGAATTCAGTACAGTGAGAATTTCATACTTGTTTATTCCGTGGGAAAGACTGCAATTGGATAAAATGAACAGAGCATAATTAAAACATAATAGGTCCCCAACTTTAGATCTCTTTTGTGACTTCAGGCCCATGCATATCCAGCAGAACAAGGCAGGAGGGCAAAACAGACTAATCTTTACCAGTTATATCAATTTAACAGGAACATACATAAAGTCCAACAGAATGTACTATATAACAACAACAACAGTAACCATCATTTTACTTTGTGAAACTTCTTAAAGCCAATGTTTCATGCAAACATATTCCTTACAATGTTTGACAAACAAAATTAGCTGAATACAGTCAAACCTCACGCCGCTAGACACTGTTCTAGTTCTTACCCATTTGGCTAGAGCTTCTTTGATGGTCGTTGCTTTCGCCTAAAAGTGAAACAAACTTAAGTGAATATTCATTGAATTTTTTAAGTGGCTTGTTCACTGCAAATCTTTCCTTTTCCTTCCCTCTCCCTATCCTGCTCGTTTGCCCCCCTTCCACCACTTTCCTGTATTATCTCGGGTCAGCCAAGTCAAAGAAGTTGGAACCCCCCAGTGTCCTGTACTTTGCTGCATTTTCAGAAGCAAACAATGAGCCTAATGTCAGGACATTATCTTCCTGATCTTACTCTCTGTCCCATGGCACACTGCTTATTAGCTTTTATGGTGAAATTCAGCTTAAAGGCATAAGAAGTTACTGCAATGAAAATTGTGGTCTAATGCTCTTAAACCCTCACGCTTCCTACTGTGCATTAGCAGCTTCCCACCTGAAAGGAAGTCTGTGACCAGAAAATTATACAGCCTCCTAAAATTCACTGAAGAAAATAAGGTACAGCTTGCCAAAACTCAAGAGCAATCTGGATTATATATATTTGGGGTTTCTTTCCAATGATTTCACATTGAGTTACACCATGTGATGTGAAAACATGTATGTGGTGTTATTATTCAGTTTGGAAAAACCTGAGGGCTGCTTTTTAAGGACTGATCCACTGACCAACTTTCTGTTGTCACTAACTCTTACTTTTCCACCTCACATCAGAGTCTCAGTGAAACCACATAAAGATATCCAAAACAGTAGTATATAAACAACATGCCTAATGCTTCTCTAAACATTAAACATAATCCAAGATGTCTTGGATTAAAAAGGTTTCAGAGATCAATCTGCTACAAACAGTGATGAACAGCCTTCTTTCTACAAATATAGGAAGACACTAGTTTTGGCATCTCTGTTGCTCCTAAGTGTAGCAGGGCATGGATAAAAGCAGCCTTTCAGGTAATCAGATATATAACCCCCCCTTACTGTTGAAGTTAAAAACAACAAACTAACTTCCCCCAAAAATCTTACAGGCAGCCACCTCAGTCACAGAGCTTTAGTATTGGGTACTTTACTCTGGACCACAGGAAACTCTGGTCCCAGCAATAAAAGGCAACAGCTGAGGCAGCTTTATATAAGAAAAGGCCACAGCCACTGAACACCCAGCAACAGCCTAAGAGCCAACAACACCAGGGAGCCCGAGCATGCATCTCAAAAATCAACATGCACCTCCATTTAGACATCCTCAGATGTTCCACTCTTTCTGCCCACGGACAGGCACTCATTTCAATCTGGTCCATACCAAGTGATAGCTAGCTCTCAGTCCTATTGGGGATGACCTGCAAACTTGAGCCTCAGCAGTAGCTCCCCAGTGTCTGCCAGAGATACACATCTGCATGACCTCCTCTGGTTCAGAATATCACATCCCTAAGCTCCCACTACAACAGCCTCATTCAAGCCAATTAACAGCTACCAGTGTGGAGGCAAAAACAGCTGGCTTCCAGTTAACTGGGGATTTTTGGGCAGAAACTTCATTGCCTTTTTCATAATTATGGCAGCCAGTCACCACAGCATTTGGGTACATGATCTCAGTCATTCATGTTGAAGACAGAAATGCATTTATAAGATCAGTGGCTGCTGCTGTTTTGAAGTCATGCCTAAAAACAGTTTGGACTTTAAAGCTACTGATCCATGTGAACACAAGGAGCAGCTTCTTCCCTGACCTCTGGACACTTATCTCTGTTGATTTGATGAAAACATGGATATCAGCACAGCAGGTTATCTCTCTCTCTCTCTGGAGAGCACATATCAGGGATTTCATTTTCTTTGAGATGCACTTGAAATTTCTGTAGGTAAATCAGAGTATCTTCTGCCACAGGAGGTTACTCAAGGGAAACTTCCTCCAAGAAGCTTATCTGCAGGGTTCTTCTACCTGCTTATTGAACAATTTTCTACAGGTATTTAGACTAAAGAAAGTCATAATACTTTATTTTAAAATATTCAAAATGCCAAGTGATCAGTGGGCATCCCTGAAGAGTCACCATCAACATGGCAGAAACAAGAAACAGAATCTGTGAAGGGGAAAAATAACCACACCTGTACTAGTTGGACACATAGTATCTACAAAATTTAGACCCCCAGGAAAAAGCAAAACAGCAACATTTCGCCTTTATTTGCAGACATTTATTTGTATTTAAAATAGATGAAATCGGAATTGCACAGCAACAGATACCAAGGTAATCGCTGCAGTGATCACCGACACCGCCGCCTTAAAACCACGTACTAGCGGAGGTTTGGGAGTTCGTGACTCCCCTCTTTCCTCGCTTCTCCCCGAAATCCCCCTTTCCAAAGGCGCAGCAGCAGGCCACCGGCCCCCGCCTCAGCCGCCGCCCCTTGCCCCGCGCTGCCTCCCGGACGGCTCTCGCCGAGCCCCGGCTGCTCGGTGGGGCCCGACCCCGGAGGGCTCCGCGCCGCCACCGCCGGCCCGGGGGCCGCTCCGACCCCCGCCGCCGGGCCCCGGCGCCGCCCCGGCCGCAGGACTCACCATGGTGCCGTGGATACCGCGAACGCTACGGTTGCTACGGGCGCGGGGAACGCCCCGCCCGGAACTCGCGTAGCGGCCCGCGGCGCCTTGTGGGACGGGCGGCGCTGGCCGGGGCCTAGCCTGGCACGGGGCTCACGGCCCGGCCGCGGCGCTGGGGAGTCCCAGGGCAGCTGCGAGGGCCCCCAGCTGTGGCCGGTGCAGCTCATCCAGCCCCCGAGCACTCGTCTTAATGGAATGGGATGGGCGTTTGGCCTGGCAAAGAATTACTGTGGCGGGTTCCGGGCTCCTGAGTACAAGAGCAGCTACTGGAGAGGGGCCAGCGGAGAGCCGCAAAGATGATGGATGAGGGGGTCTGGAGTCTCTCTCTGGTGACGAGAGGCTGCGGGACCTTGGCCTGTTTCGTCCACAGCAGAGGAGAGCTCACCAGTAGATAGAAATTTCTCAAAGGTGGGTGCCAAGAGGACGGTGCCAGACTCTTTTCAAGGGTTCAGAAGATCACATCTCCTTGTCCTGCCCGGTGACAGGACGAGGAGAAACGGCCTTAAGCTGAAACACGAGAAGTTCCACCTCAAGTTGAAGAAGAACCTCTTTACACTGTTCCAGCAGAGCCCTGGAACAGACTTCCCAAGGAGGCAATGGAGTCTCCCTCTGCAGACAGTCCAAATCCACCTGGACACATTCCTGTGTAACTTGGTCTAGAAGACCCTGCCTTAGCAGGAGAATTGGACTAGGTGGTCTCCAGAGGTCTCTTCAAACCCTAACAAATGTAAACCAATATAAATAATGTGGCTGTAACTAAGGCCATAATCAGGCACTCAGTTTAGTACACACTTCAGGAAATAGCTACACATTCTGCAGAGTGTCTGCAATGCCTCTTGAGTCCCCAGGTAGCATTGTAATATACAAAATGCTAGTAAATATACAAAATGCATGGTTTTCAAAAGGTCCTTCTATTATTTTGTCTAGGAAACCCTGATTGACAAAAAGGCTCTTTACAGCAAAATTACATTGTTTTTAACTTTCCCTCCATTTAAAACAATGTATCATTCACTTTTCCAAACAAATAATTAACATCAAATTCTTACACATGGTTGCTTTTTAATAAAGGAAGTGTTTTATTTCTCTTTCAAATTGCATGTATCTGACAAAATCTAACACTGAATTATTTTAAAAGCTTGTGCTTTAGAAATTAAGTCTGAGACCTCTTAATCTACCTGTTTTGTTGTTTTTTGGTTTTTTTTTTTTTAATTTACAATTTAACATTTACTTCCTGAACCTCAGATTGCAATCTTGCATTGCAGTGCATATGCTGAGGTAGGACTGCAGTGTGGAGACACAGATATTGGCACTGGGAGAGTGACAGAACAGGAATAGGGGAGGTGCTGCTCTTGCACAATCGATAACAGCTCCAGCTACTGAAGAGACACAGGATGAAGCAGGAACCTTCACACAACAGACAACCCTTTCTCCTACAGTTGCTACTTGAAATGAGTTTGGAAAAAAAGGCAGTCTGACAGGTATGGGTGACACCAGGGAGCACATTGCAGCAGGCTCTGGTCCTGGACTTCTGGAGCTGCTTGTGTTAGCAGAGGTTCAGGCCCCAGACAGGACTTGACAAAAGTCTATTCAGCCGGTGAGGGAGTTTAGAGACCAGGCATGAAGAGATCTTTTGTGGAGTTTGCAGAATGGAGCTTCTCTTGTAAAGAGTGGATGAATAAATTGTTCAGTTGGCATTGATTGTGTGTGAAAAACACGTGACTTTAATCAAATGATAAGGAATAATAAGAGTTGCAGAAAGCTATTGAATCTGAGCAGCAGCATAATGACAGTTAACTGGAGAGAGATCCCTGAGAGCAAAGCAAAACTGAGTACATTAATGAAAGATTTTTATCTTCCTAGGCAGCTCAACTTCCTAGGCAGCTTTTAAACTGGTCTGACAAAAATGACTTTGGAAGGAGAAATTTTGTTGATAGAGGCCCTCCTTCAACAGGCCTTCAGCACTGGCACTATTTCAGCAAGACACTCTTGAGAGATCAACTCATTTGGGAAGAAAATTCTTTCTACCTGAATGGTGAGGGAAAAAAAGGCACTAGCCAAAAATTATTTTGTATTAAAAAAAAATAACCTTGGGCAGTCATGGAAAAGCTATCATAGATTTGGCTTTGGGTGCTTTTTTTGGAGGGCATTGTTAGTTTGGTATGATTCTGAATTAATCACCACCATAAGGTGAAAGCTTTTTACAGTCAGTTTAAATCTACAGGCTAGGTTTTCTGCCTCCCAACTCTGCTTCTCCCCTAAGAACAGCTATCAGCATCTGTTGACATCACTACTAAAGAGTTCTACAAGTAATTAATCCCTAACTTAATGGCTGTATTTAGACATGCTCTAACCTATCCAACAGAATCTTAGTACCCTGAGTGTCAAACAGCAATCCAAAACATTACAGGAACAGACAGGTACATCCCAAATACAAGACAGTGCTAGTATTGCCATTCTTCTTGGATGACAAGGAAAAGTACTCTTCATTTTTCCATTCAGCACATAGTTCTTTTTGGAAAGAAACAGACTGTCACCTCAAGACCACAATGCTAAGTATACGAGCTTCATTTTAAGTAGCTTCAAATTTCTAGTAGGTTTCTTGATCTTCATGTAAATGGAAAACGTATCTGAAGTGTATATGGCTGTAAATATGAGAATTCTGGGGTAAGGTAGCTTAGGACTCAAAGTCAGAGTCATCATTTGGATGTCTACGTTTATCATCCGTCATTGCCGAGTGTGATCCTCTCTGTCACTGCTGAGGGTGCAGGCTGCCTGTTAACATTCTGTGAGGTGTAAATACTGCAAGGAAGTACCTGCTACTCTCTTCAGGTACTTGTTTCTTCATATCTTGACCACTTTGAGCTGTCAAATTTGTACCATAATGCAACATGCTTGTTGTTTCACATCTCCTCTGTTTACCTAGTTAAATTAACTTAGAGTGCTCCAAAGAAATCCCTTTCTTTTTAGATTTATACTTGTAACTAAGTAGTCATTTGGTTATTTTCATATTTCAAGGCTTGTCTCAGTCAATCCCTTCAATTCACCAGTCATTTTGGTGGCTCAAGTTCAGTCCTTGCAGATCTGCAACTGCTTGCATGTGTTTAAGTGTTCATCCCAAATGCAAGTGCAGAAACTCCTGAATCCTTCTCCAGGAGTGTTCCTGTGCGTGGGCATGTGCTTTGCTCTCTCCACCCCCCAGAACAGGCACCCCCAAAACACGATCCATAGCTACCTGACAAAATGGAGTAGAAGGAGGATCAATTCGGTGACCTGCTCCTGGATAACTCAGGAGTTCAAAGTTGTCTTTCCCATGCTGGCGTAGACGCCTGATTGCCAGCTCAGCATATAAGGAGCTCTTCCACATCCGATCATCTTCCCCTACCACTAAGAGAAAGTGACCTTCTGCTTTTTCAATGGGGATCACGCTAGAAGAATTGGCAGGATTCGTTGGGTCATCCAGAGCTTCAAAAACGTCATATACACCAGACTCAGAGACAGTGACTTTCTCCATATCAAAGCGCAGCCCGGGCAGAGTCGTCTCACCATAATGGAGGTCTGCAACTGTGTTTGAACTACAGCCAGAGATTGAGACAGCAGCCACTACTTCTGGCAGGAAGGTGATCATGGAGAGCGCTAAGTCCGCCCCTTTCCCAGTCCCAATCACTCCAACTCCTGGTCCTTTCACCTTCAGATAAGACAGGGGGTGGAGAAGAGAGGAAGAAAGGAATAAAGGAAGCATACATTATAATGGGATTAGCCATTAATTGACTTTGGAGTTGTTTTATTAAAAAAAAAAGGTTAAGTTAATTATTGATGTAACCTGTTGCAAAGTGACAGTCTGGACCCACGCTCCTCCTTCTGTTTACGGTCTTATTTTTCAGAGACGCCAAGAGAGATCAAACCCCACAAAAAATGCCAACAGGCACAAGGCATACCATCACTCACTCCTTACCTGGTCCCTACTGCATATGTTAATGCAAGTTTTTTCTCATTTTCCTAAAACAGGTAACAGGAAATTCAAGTCTCAGGAAAATAAAGTAACCTCACAAACTACATTTGAAGGATTAGATCAGTAGTAATTGTCTTGTCTTTTTCTAGCCTGGAAAGTAAAGCTGAAAGCAACATTCCACATCATCAAATTCATTCTTTCAGCTACTATGAGCAGTATCATATCATCCTCTCTTAAAACTAATTGCTTTCATGTAAGAAAAAAACCCAAACAAGTCCAACATTTTATCACCACTGGTCTTGTTTGGAGGATACTCCAGCATTCACTATCCTACTGATCAGCAATCTTCTAGCTCCAGCATGAATTTAACAGATACTTTGTGCTGGAAGACATTCACTCTCCCCAGTCATATGCATAAACCACAACTGGGCCTAAGCTTGCCCAGCAGAAACTGATACTCAAATATAAAAAAAAGCACCACCACCACTTAGGCATAACTGCTAAATCCTCCCTAGTCCCAAGAGATTTCCCACTGCACTCACCTTTGGGTGACGCTGTAGGAACCTTGCTGCCTCCTCAAAGTACTCAAGTTTTAAGTCTTTCAAGATCATAGGAAGATCTTCAAAGTCAAAATATGGCAGAGAAAGAGTAGCAAAACCATGGGTAGCCAGGAGACTAGATCTAAATTCAATCAAGCCTCCTTCATCACCATACATGTCAATCACTCCTGGAAAGGGACCATCCCCTATATTAAAGAGAAGAGTTACAGAGGAGAAGTTATCAAACAGGACACAAAAAACTATCTGGTGAAGAGTAAACAACAAAATGCTTAAGACATTTGCTATTAATAGTCATATAAGACATTAGCTATTAATAGACATTATTTTTCCATTTGCACAGCAGACATTTATTTAAGAGAAGCAGTGCTATGTCCCTCTCCAGCTATTTCAAACTAAGAATAGGTCCAAGTCCTTACATTCCTGTAAAAATATATGAAGTTAAAGGTTTCACTCTTTAAAACAAAAAGCAAAAAAAAAATAAAATCAAACAACAAAAACCCCAAAAAGAACAAACAAAC